TCCTACTGCGGTGGTGCGACAAATGACCTGCGCCGTCCCTTAGCGTACGTTGCAAACTACGGCGCGTCTTGCTTCTGTCAAGCCCCTCCTTGTCTGGTCCGGAGGCACTCGTGCGTTTGGGTCGATCGGGGCTATCCTCGTGAACTTTACCGGAGGAGGTACGCTTGTGGCCCGATGCCCGGCCGGACTCCATCTCGAGAAGACCGGTCTGTTCAAGAATCTGTCTCTCACCCTCGTCCTCTTCCGCTTGTTCATCAATAGTATCCTTGTCTTGCCCAATGGCTGGGCTTGATGCTTTCCGGGGCAATGTAGTCGCAGCAGCTAACCTTGACGAGGAGGCAACACTTGACACAGATGTTTTCCGGGCATTGACGTGGTCAGAACTGACAGGGGGTGCATCTTGGGAAGACTGGCCGTCGTGGAATGACGGGTCAGTGGCTGAAGTTGGAGGTGTTACGAAGTTTTCTACCGCAGGCGAGTCTTCATCTACCTGATTTACGGATTCGGAAGACTGAGTCAGCGAAAGCGGAGCGGGATTCCGTAGAGTCTGTTCTGTATTTTGAGAACCGGATGGCGATTCCTTATCCGTAGGCAATGGTTTTTCGGTGCTTGAACTGGTCTCCACCGTATCGTCCCCTAAATCGCCATTGATTTCTTTCTCCTCTTCGAGATCTAAAGCAAGGATGTCGCGATGACATTTTAATCTCCAAATTTCCGTTCGGGACCACTTTAACTGAGCAATGATCTTCGCAGCGCCTCCTCGAACCTGGTCCCGGGTTTTATCCTGGATTGGAGCCAATATTAACAAGTGCCTGGCATTTCTCAACTGTGTGTCGAGGATTTTCTGCGCGTGCTGAAGTTTCTCGTCGGCTTCCTCAATTCTCTGACGTATGACTTCACGGCGGGCAACGAGGATGTCTCGAGCCATCTGATGGTCGATACGGCTACGGTTGATACTGACTTCTCCGCTGGGTGTTTGGATGAGCTGGGTGGCGTCGGGACTGTCCAGCCTCCTGATAGCACGTCGACTTTGGCCTTCGTAGTTACCGCCTATGACCCCACGCATTCGTACGCCGGACGTTCTGAATGCAGCAGCATAATTCAGTTTGGCGAGCCAATCATTTCGGTCTTCCTCGTTCTGTGCGAGTAGCACTTCCTCTAGCCCGCCGTGTCTAACATATACAAATGAGTTCTTGTGCTTTTTGTAACTGGCATCATAGAGCGCCACAGCACCATGCGTTGACATGAGAGCATCAGGCTTGAATTGTTCGAGGGGCGGGTTGAAGATGAGTGGTATACCATCGTGCCCTGACTTAATATGTGTCTCGTACTGATGCATTAGATTCTTGACCCATGCCGTGTTGCGGAAGAAGTATAGTTGGGCGCCGGTTAGAATGGCTCCCCATTCTTGCCAGGGTGAGCGCGTCTTCTTTTTCTTAGCATCTTTACGCCATAGCAATCCGACTTTAGTAACCTTAATGTCTACTATACCCGGATGGGCTTCTTGTGGATTGTTTGCTGTTTTCTCAGTCATAAAAGCGTCCGGACGGGACCGCGCTGATACAATCTGCAGAACTCCCGTCTTGAAAAAAGTGTTCTGCAGTTCTTTCAGGTTGAGTTCTTTAGCTGTGCCTGTATAACTATAATGTTCCTCGAGCGGGATCTGGTCCTTGAGAGGTGGTCGGAGGGTATCAAGCCGGCCGTCCAGGATTAACGTATAGGGATCAATTGGGTCTTTCGACCTTCGCAACGTTTCTGTCGAGCTGTTCGGAAACGCAGCCTTCTTCTTCGACCGCATGCTACCGGTTCGATCACCACTAATAGTTAGATCATCCTCGACATGGATAAAGGGTGTGTAGCTAATATTGTCATAAAAGCATTCCAGTATATCATCGAAAATACCTTCGCCATGCGTGTTCTTCAAATAATCGGCCTTCTGCATCTTGTACTTATTGTTCTTGTTGAACACATCAGTATGTAATATAAGAAGGGAGAAAGCTATGAAATATGCTTGATCCGGGGTAGAGTATATCCCAGGATTACATTCGTGGTAACGGTTAGCGAAAGCTTGTAGGCAGCGATCTATCTGTTGGGTTTCCTTGGGAAGCTCGGCCTCCATAAGAAGTTTCCGAATAGCCATATCCATAGGCTCTTCAAAGAAGCTAAACGTTCGCATGTAACTTCGCAGTACAGCCGCAGAAAAGGAATCGGTTTCCTTAGATAGGGCGGCGGCGATGACACCGCGACTAAGCATCTCCTCTAGACGCGAGAGATACTTTGCAGGTGTATCATCTTCCCGGCGCTCAGGTAGCACGACTGGTTCCCTATTTATTTGTAACGAATTATTCTTTGAAGTACTCGAGCCTGGAGTTGCCGGGGTTAAGCTCCCATGTCGTAGGCTATCGGTATTCTGTCGCATACGACTTAACCCTAGTAGATCACCGAAACTTTTACGGCCGGTGGAAGACGAGGTTCGCGTGGTTCCTGGACGTTGACGATCGTCGATAAAACTCTCGCCGAGGGAACTCATTGTGGAAGACCGCCCTCGGAGACTTACGTGCATTCTCGTCGGGGACGACTGTCCAGAGTGTCGAGAGGAAGGTCTGAACAAAGCTGTAGCAGGAGACCCCGTCGGTTTGCCAGATTGGGAGGGAGAAGCTAAGGGCGTTGATGCATCCTGTCCTATAGACGGGCGGGATGGGTCTAGAGCGAAGGAAGGGCGAGATGAGGTCGAGGAACGCGACATAGAGGAGGCTGTACCAGATATTGCGGGTGTCTTAGATTTCTGAGGGAGATGTGTTATAGGGAAAAGCGGCTCCGGTTGTTTGGGCCTGCGGCGAAGACGGAAGAAAGAGGAGGGATTTAACCCGGTCTGTTGCGGAGATGCAGTATGCTCGTTAAAGCTGCTTTCTGATCTAGAAGATTCAGATAGACGATTTATAGGGGGAGTTAAGGCGTTTTGATCATCGGTAGTGTTGGTCTGCGACCTAGTTAATGTTCCAGGCCTCGAGCTATCTTCGAAAGTTACCGTCTGTTTACTCGACGAGGACATCGTTCGTTCGTTTATAGTTTTCCTTTTATCTTTTTTGGCAGCTGGAGGTGGTATAAATTTCGATGTAGGTTCTTGGTCGCCTCTGGGAAACTCACTGGACCGGCGCATTCGCAAGGGGATTTTCATGCGTGGTTTCTTCGGTTGCATATCCATATCCATAGTCATGGTCGGCGCAGTCATGATGATGGAGGGAGCTGGGAAGGATAACCAGGTCAGCAAATAAATTTCGCGTCAAGAATAGATGATGATATCGAGGATAAGGTTCACAAGGTTCAAGGAATAAAATGAATAAAATGATGCTACCTACGCTGCGGCATGGGTGGCAGCTTCTCGGCTTGTTGCTGCTGTTTTAATCGGGCCGACAATTGGGAATCGGAGGCATTGCGAAATCTCAACATGCTGAACCTACGATGTTTCGGCGACTCATCTTGAATTGGAGGGGACTCGGGACGACTGAAGGGATCTTCGCTTTCTCTGCCGGGGAACATGGACGCGGTAGCTGACGTCGCGACTGTGTCGACGGAAGATTTGCTGTCCTCGCCATTTCCAGAGGTACCATCTCCTATCCCTTCTCCATTTCCTGCGGTAGCATCGGGGCTCAATAACGCCTCTGGTTGGAGTTTGCGCGAAGACTGTTTAGGAGCAGGAGATGTCGAATCGACTAGAATGGTATGTCGTCTCATATCGGTGTCACTAGCCATGACGCCTCGACGGCGTAGAAAGGGCATTGTGATAGGACGATAGCCGACGTCTGGGCACGAACAAGACTAAGCGTGCCGTTCCAGCTTAAAACAGTGTATTAGATATATACACGGGTATACGGCAACGGTAGCAACGGCGATGGGTGGCTGGAATAGCCGATGATCATCACGTCAAAGAGCTACTACGACGAAGACCCATCGTTGTGAAGCACTCTTCGAAGGTGTATAGACGAGACGATAGATAGGCTAGGTGGATGAATTGTGCCGAGTTCCTTTACAGAGATAGAGAAATCTTGGGGGTCGGGTTATTGTCGCCGGGGTGGGAGCTGTCAGACTCGGGGATCTCTTCAACTGACTTCGCCTGTCAGCGGATCCACGAAAAGAAGTACTACGGGATGGACGGCGAGTTATTTTGTCGTATGTCTATAGTCGCTGACTTGGATTGGGTTGGATTGATACGGATTGATACGATCAGTCAGCCATTCGTTCATTCGTTCATGTCTATGTATGAATGGGTTGGTTTTGGGATCTCATCGAGATCAGAGGTACGGGAGAGGTACGGGGTTTGGGCTTGGACTACTCCGGGTACGTGTGTTGGTGTACTGTAAGTAATAAAGTCCGTTGCCAAGTTGCTATTTCTGTAGGTCGTGGAAACAATTAAAAGTTGTTAGGACCCCTTGAGCCTTCCAAGGTTCCTCCCTATCTGCCCTGTCTGCTCTCCCCCTTCCCTCCCCGCCGAGAGCCCCATGTTCCTACCTAAAAAGGCGAGGTCGGGTTAGCTACACGTGTAATTATGCACGCTATGCTTCGCCTGCCCAGTGTTCCGTAAAGTACCCCCTACTTCGAATGGATACAATCTATGTAACTATGATAAACGTTCCATAAGGAAAGACCCGACAAATTGGATAGAGAGATCAACATACATACCGGTCTCCTCATTTAGATGGTATTTAACTATCGTATATAGTTATTATATCGTATACCGACCTTTTTATTCTCGTTTTGTAAAACATTAACATGTCATGACGGAGAATTCCATATAAGAAAAGTAATTTTAAGGTAGTTATTGTTTCTCGTTTGAATTTTTAAGACTTATTAAAGTAATTAGATGTAAATAACTTTAATGTAGATATGCATAAAAAGTAAGGTACATCGGCAGGTACTTTGCCTGCCTTGGCTGGTTGCATTATCCACTACGCCCCTCCTCCACTTTTTTACATGTTGAACGGATTTACTATGTACGTCGTCAAGACTAGAATCTTAGCCGTCGCCTTAAATAAATCTAAGCAGGTAGCAATCATCCAACCCTCTTCCCGCTCAGCCCGATTTCTAGGCTACTGCCGAAGAGTCTGAGAGTCCAATGCCGGACACGTTCCTGAGGACTTTATATTACGTACATACAAACACTACTACATAGACACAATACCTCATACACATACACATCCACATCCACATCCACATACACAAGTATCAGTATCACTTCTCTATGCTCTGCAACGCTACGCCGTCTGCTGTGGGCCATTCATCATCATGAGCGCCATCTCTCTTCGCTCATCTTCTCTATTCGTCTACTTCTTACTCTTCTTTATTATACCCCTCCCTTCCGTTGCTACAAGCCTACCTCGGGTTGCCCCGTCTCGGCTCCACGATGGGCGATCGTATTTCGGCCGCCTGCTCAACTTTCCCTTCGGGTGGGCCTCGAAAAAGTCCAGCAAGAATTTGAACGAGTGGTTCGCAACTCGTCCAAAGCTTGTAGAGAATCTAAGGAGGTATGAAAACGATGTTGTAATAAGGTTCAATGTCTCGACAGGTGCAAACGAGGCGGCTTTAAGAAAGGCTGTTGATCAAATGTTGCTCGATGTCTGGGATTTCACTGATAACTACACTGATATTCGCATTGAAGCACGCCGTATTCGGCCGTTGATGGGTATATTGCCGTCTTCTTTACAAGATAACCATGTCGTTTTGATTCCCGACCTAGCCCGTGCTGTCGCGGCTACCTACCCGTCTAATGCCGCCGCAAACTCCGTTACTCAGTCCCTCTCCAAAGATCGAGGTATCACCCCGGCAAACGACATCCCTTTGCCTAAGAAGCAAGGCGTGGATGACGTCTTCTTTCATGATTACCAGCCGCTCTCTGTCATATATTCGTGGTTGAAGTTGCTCGACTCGATGTTCCGCGGCCGCGGTCTTGTTCGGTTGGTCAACATCGGACGATCGTACGAGGGCCGAGATATACTAGGGTTAAGGGTCGGCACACCCCGTAGCGGCGCGTCCTCGGGTGGCTCAGATACTCGCAAGGATACCATTCTTATTACGGGTGGTGTTCACGCGAGGGAGTGGATATCCATAAGCACAGTAAATTACGTCGCTTGGTCCTTCATCAAGTCTGTTGACGAGGATCCGATGATAGCTAAAATTCTAGAACACTTTGACATCGTCTTCATCCCTGTCTTAAATCCCGATGGATACGAGTACACGTGGGACGTCGACCGGCTATGGCGGAAGTCGAGACAGCGCACCAAGATGCAGTATTGTCCCGGGTTCGATTTGGATCACGCATTCGGCTACCGATGGGATGGAACCCGGCACCAGAGTGAACCGTGCTCTGAGAGTTACGGCGGCGACCAACCCTTCGAGGCCGTCGAAGCCGGTGAATTAGCGGATTGGGTCAGGAACGAGACGGATAGCGGCGTTAATTTCGCGGCTTACCTAGACCTCCACTCTTATTCTCAGCAGGTTTTATATCCGTATGCGTATTCTTGCAACGTCCGTCCGCCTAATATCGAAAATTTAAGGGAGGTAGCTATGAATTTAGCTAAGCACATGAGGCTCTCTAACGGAGAAGTCTACACCACCACGTCGGCCTGCGAAGGGGCCGTCGTAACCGAAAACACAGTAGATACCACACATGATACCCGAAGAGCTCGTGTAGAAGCCGGCGGTGGTTCTGCTATTGATTACATTTTTCATGAATTCGGAGCTCGTTATAGTTACCAAATCAAGCTGCGAGATACGGGAAGCTATGGCTTCCTACTCCCCAGCGAATATATTATTCCAACCGGCGAAGAACTATATCAGGCTATGAAATTTCTTGGAGATTATCTTCTTGGTAATAACGGGCACGAGTCGTGGACCCAATCTACCAACCCCGACCAGAATCCGTCTGAGCCCTTTGATGAGGACGATGAAGAGATAACAGAACTTCGAAAACGGCGCCGAAGACGGTGCGTCGATTGTACATAACTCACATAATCTATCATAATAATGTAAAATATTGTTCATTTAACCCCAGAACCGATGTTACGGTTGGGTACTCAGCTTTGGGTGTCTCATTTCTCTCGCCTTACTATTTTGGTTCTGCCCTGGCCCATCCATGGTAAAAAAGCCAGCTACCTCGGCTCGACCTTAACTCATAGACCAGTGTTCTATATATATATATGTATTGCCTAACCTGGCTAATTGATTGAATATTGTTATTGGACTTTTCGACGTATTATTGGCAAGACTACCTAACCTAGCTTGACCAAGTGGTCTCATATATGTGCATTAGGTATTCGTGTTCAATATCATGTTTCCGAAAAGCGGCTTAGTGGCACAATAGACTGAGCATAGACGTCTTGGCCCATGTACATATTACTTGGGTTACCTAGTGTGGATAAAGATGTCAAGGCTTCATATTTATTCTCGATATTTATCCTCGAAGAAGAAAAATATAAATTTCTATTTCTAAAAAAATCTGCTTTATTTATATCCCTTAACCATAATCTCTTCCCTTTTCGCCCTTTTGCCTTTCCGTACTAATGTACCCGATCTCTACGCCTGAGGAAGCAACTTAACACCAGCAATGACAGCCATAACTTTCAACGCGGTGTCACATAAGGTGCTGATAACGAAACCCTTGGCTCTGCCCGGGGGACCGTACCAGGTGTAACCTATAGCATACCACGTGCGTCCGAAGATCCAGCCGGCGCCAAGGGCGGCGCTCGCAGTCGGGAACCAGAGACCGGAGATGAGTAGGGCGCCGAGGAAGGGTGTTACGTTCTCGACGAAGTTACCGTGGGCGCGCTGAGCGCAGTTGAACTTGTAAGCCTTGGGGTCTTTGGCGGCTTGCTCTTGGCTCGCGTAGGGGATCGGGTAGGTTAGGCCGCTCTGCTTGCGCGCCTTGCCGGACAGCACAAAGTGCAAGGTGTTGACGAAGAATGATGAGGCGGCGACGGTTAGGACGTAACTAAATAGAGCAACGGTGCGGTTAGTAGCCGCGCGGGAAGGAATTAGATATATATGATCTATATCTGGCGGACACGGACGTGCCAATTAAGAGACTGGAAAATGGCGTGCTACGGATTGTTGGTGGTAGATGCAACGCGGATATAAATAAAGTTATCGGCACTTACCCATATTCGCTTGGTACCTGGAGTGCATAGGACGCCATTGTGTGAATATTGATGTATGGATTTGTATGGATTTATAGATATAGAGGGTGGTTTATGTCGTCGATGGTTGGATCTTTTACTCTGAAGAACTTGCAACAGAAGATGAAAAGGGCTTTGTTTTATATAGCGTTACATACTCACGACGGGAGGGACTACTTCCCACACCCCCTTGTTTATACGCTGATCCAGGCTCTCAGCTACTTAGGTATCAAATGATGGTTATCCCGTCCATACTACCTACATACTAATGCGGACCGTATGTGACTAATGCGATAGTCGTCAATTAGCCCGGTTCCCGACTGAAACTACATACATATATCCTATTATTATATGCATTGGGTACTCATATACGTAAAATGCGTCCAGTAGATTAAATCGTGAAGCTTCTACGGAGCTCTGCTGGGTGGAATACCTACTACGTACATAGGTAGCTATGTCGGTATGCGGCTAGACTTTCCTTCTAATAAAATGCCGAGACGGGATATGCTTACACCGGCGGATGTATGGTCAACGTCGAAAAGTGGCCGAGCTAGAAGAATATTTGCTAATGCAATGAGCTTTTTTCATGAGGATCCGCCGAAGAATACCTAAGCTAGAGCTACAAGTCAACATGTATATCTACTATTATGTAATTTCATCTTGAAACGTTCAACGTTTCCACTTTGTACCTTTTTTTAGTTAACGTTAGGTACATACCAAAAGTACAATATATCGGATAAAATAGGTCCGGATAGGTATCCCACTTCATGGAATGGATCCACTTCGATAAGGCTCTAAGAGGCTAGGTACCTAGGTACCTTTCTCCTGACAGCACACGGCTTCTTTGGTCTGTGGTCTTTGGTCTTTGAGAATCTGAAGCTTGTCTTGGTCTTACACTAGGCACGGGAATATCGCCATAATACCTACGGGACTGGATAACTAATACATCTCATAATAGCAAACGGGGAATTTCTGCGAAACTTAATTGCGACGTCGATTATTCGTAACCCACGTAACCCACGATTTCGACTTTTGCCAAAGCTGGCTATTCTACTTCAATAGGCCCTTCCAGGGCCCGTGAAGCTTCACCATGAGTTCCTGTAAGTTGTCATATAAGTTGTCATACAGTCCCTTAAATTCATAATACTTTATAGCCAATCTCGAATGGTATAACTGGTAACTAACATCTCTTTCTTCCCTGCAGTGAAGCAGTTTATTCGCAATGTCCGTGCAGCTAAGACCATCGCCGACGAACGAGCTGTGATCCAAAAGGAGAGCGCTGCTATCAGGGCCAGCTTCCGCGAAGAGAGCCACGACCACAACGTGAGGTGCGCACCAGGCGACCATGATCTCGAAACCTTCGCTGCATTTGCTAACTTACGGCCATCGATAGGCGGAACAATGTCGCCAAACTCCTATACCTGTTCACTCTGGGTGAGAGAACCCATTTCGGTCAAATAGAATGCATCAAGCTGCTCGCATCCCCGAGGTTTGCAGATAAGCGGCTTGGACATCTAGCCACGAGTTTGTTGCTAGACGAAAACCAGGAGGTGCTTACATTAGTTACAAACTCCTTGAAGAAGTATATTATTTATTGTCCTCCCTTAATGCCCCTGATTTCAACTCCAGGCTAACCTTGAATTCCCCCTCCAGTGATCTAGGCCACTCCAACCAATATGTCGTGGGCCTTGCTCTCTGCACCCTGGGAAATATAGCTTCGATCGAGATGTCCCGAGACCTGTTTCCCGAAATCGAGACCCTAGTTTCGACTGCCAACCCTTATATCAGAAGGAAGGCGGCTCTATGCGCTATGCGGATATGCCGAAAGGTTCCCGACTTACAGGAGCATTTCGTTGAGAAGGCGGCGCAACTATTATCGGATAGGAACCATGGCGTACTTCTTTGTGGACTGACGTTAGTTACGAGCATGTGCGAAGCAGAAGAGGAAGAAGGTGGCGACGAAGGAATCATTGATAAGTTCAAGCAGTTCGTCCCAGTTCTAGTCAGGACCTTGAAGGGCCTTGCTACCTCTGGCTATGCCCCTGAGCATGATGTCACTGGTATTACAGACCCTTTCCTACAAGTCAAGATTCTCCGATTACTTCGGGTCCTCGTTCGCGGTGATGCCGAGGGTACAGAACAGATCAACGACATCCTCGCCCAGGTCGCCACGAACACCGATTCGTCTAAGAACGTTGGTAACTCGATCTTGTACGAAGCTGTCCGGACAATCCTCGACATTGAGGCGGACTCGGGCCTCCGAGTTCTTGGCGTGAACATTCTTGGCAAGTTCCTTTCCAACCGTGATAACAATATCAGATACGTTGCCCTCAACACATTGATTAAAGTCGTCGCTATCGAACCAAACGCTGTTCAACGGCATCGTAATACGATCCTAGAATGTCTACGAGATCCCGATATCAGCATTAGGAGACGCGCTCTAGACCTGAGTTTCACTCTGATCAATGAGAGCAATGTACGAGTACTCATTCGAGAGCTGCTTGCCTTCCTCGAAGTTGCCGACAATGAGTTCAAGCCTAGCATGACAAGTCAAATTGGTATCGCAGCCGACCGGTACGCCCCTAACAAGCGGTGGCATGTCGACACTATGCTGCGAGTCCTGACTCTCGCGGGGAACTACGTCAAGGAACCCATTATGGCCTCGTTTGTCCGACTCGTAGCAACAACCCCAGAACTTCAGACGTATGCCGTTCAAAAGCTATACGCAAATTTAAAGAAAGATATTACCCAGGAAAGCTTAACCCAAGCAGGCGCATGGTGTATTGGTGAATATGGTGATTCCCTACTCAGGGGCGGACAATATGAAGAGGAGGAATTGGTTCAAGAGGTTAAAGAACACGAAATTGTCGACCTTTTCAACACCATTCTTAACAGCAGCTACGGTACCCAAGTGTCTACCGAATATATCGTCACGGCCCTAGTCAAACTGAGTACGCGGTTTTCAGATCAGAACCAGATAGAACGCATTAAACGACTACTAGAAACTCACCAGACCAGCTTGGATGTCGAGGTACAGCAAAGAACTGTCGAGTATGGCAACCTATTTTTGTACGACGACATACGCCGTGGTGTCTTGGAGAAGATGCCGCCACCGCAGATCAAGGAGGAGTCAAGAGTATTGGGCGAAGCCACCAAGAAACCCAAGAAGGGAGCTAATCGCAGGTCGAAACTTATCACCAAGCCCACAACGGATCAGGACTTGCTTGACCTGATGGGAGACAGCACCACTACACCCTTAGCTTCACCTACAAGTGGAGGCCCAAGCAACACTGACTTACTTGCCGATATTCTCGGCGGCAGCACAACTTCACCCCAGGCTGCCTCTCCGCCACCTCAGAGTAACACGGCATCGATCATGGATCTCTTCTCCCAAGGTTCTGCCTCCAGCCCGGCGCCTACCAGCTCGGGCCTAGGCGACCTGGCATCACTCAGTACTCCTCCGCCCCAACAAGCTGCAGCAGCTCCGCCACCGGCCGGTATCCCATGCTATAACGCCAACGGTCTCAACATCACTCTTCAACTACAGCGCAACGCCGAGGGGGCCGTACAAGTCCTAGGCCGTTTCCGGAATACTTCCGGCGGCCTGCTCTCCAACGTTGGCTTACAAGCAGCAGTGCCGAAGTCACAAAAGCTGCAGTTGATGAGCATATCCAACTCCGATATCGCGCCCGGAACTGAAGCTACTCAAATGATGCGGATCACGGGAAGTAAAGGGGTAAGTTTATTTTCCAGATTATATAATACATATCCTCCAGCTATTCCGAAGTAATAAGCTGACATTGTATAACCTATCTAGCCTCTCCGTTTAATGTTACGAATCGGCTACTCTCACCCGTCGGCGGGGCAGGTTATGGATCAGGTCAAGTGGACGGAACCGTCTTAGCGATGTGATGCGACGTGGTAGAAGCAGGTATAATAAAAGGCGTCTTTATGGATTGGTTGTACTTGTGCCATCCGTTTCGAGATGGATGAACGGCTCTCGCGCTCGCGAAGACACGGTGACTACATATGCAACTATGTGACGGGTTCCTTGGACCTGATAGCTAGTGTAGATGAGCGAGTAGTGAGTGTTTGAATGCTACTAGAAGGTTGAGTCTTCGATTCGGTAGATTTGCCTTGCTTTGCTTTGCTAGTTGTGATAACTATGGCAATATACAACCCGGTATTATGAGTATTGCTAATATAAGTTTCGAGGATTTACGTACTAACATATACAGAGGTAGTTATATTAGCTTTTTGTGATATGATGTGAAATGGCCCTTGGCAGTGGCTCTACTATTATAGACCATGCCGTAGACGTAAGTAACGATATTGGTCTGAGCAACTATCTCAGTACCGTCTTCGCTATTATAACCTACAAACTCCTTACCAACTGTCTATTCGACATCTCCCTCTTCATAATCCTCGCCTCCATCTTCCTCACCATCACCATTATCATAATACCCATACTCCTCCTCCGCATCCCCTTCCGCATCATCATCCCCTTCCAAATCCTCCACATCCCATGAGTTCTCCATCGGAGTCGTAGTATCATTCTCACCAACCATATCATCATCCGGCTCCAAATCATCCCCTCCAGGCGTGGACACACCATCCGCCGCAGCAGATCCAGGTTTCTGCTTCTGCGTAGGAGGACGGCGCTTATACAACCTCGTATCGAGCTCCTCCATGGGCCGCAAGAAGGGTTCTAGCGTCAGGCCCAGCGGCTTATCCGTGATATCCGGGAACGGGCGGATCCGATCTTCCAGGAAGGAATTATACAGGAACCCGGGCTTCTGCGGTCGGTCGTCGTCGGATCCCATACGGCCCCTCTTGATAGCCACCATTTTGACCTTCATGACCATTTTGACCTTGCCCCACGTACCCTTATGATACCACCCCGAATCCTTCAAATCGCAGGTATCCCTCAGCGGCGCGCGGTCGATAATGCCGCGCACGAACGGATCCGTGATGTCGCATACTTGCCAGAACTTGCCGTCGGTGGAGTAATCCTCGCCGTTCCAGAGGTGGCTGTCGCTGTTCTCACGCATGCGCCTCTTGGTCTGGCCCTTGCGCACGACTTCCCAGGGGATCTTCTTGGTGCCGACGATGTTGCGCTCCAGCTTGAACGCTAGCGTCTGGTAGATGCGGAAGCTGGGGTCGGGGCGCGGGTCCACGCCGTACTTGATGAAGGCGTCACGCCAGGGCCCGCCGCGAAATTGGTACCCGATGAGCTGGAGGGCGATCCGGAGGACTGAGTCCGAGAAGTCGCCCGTGATGCGGTTGAGGATGGCGCGGCGGGTCCAGATCGGTCGCTCGTCCATCAGCTTATGGAGTTGGTTCATGAGCCCCTCTGGTACTTTCATGGCTGGCTCTCGGCGGGGTTTCTCGGGCACGGGGTACTGGTTGTTGTTGATGAAGTGGCCGTACGAGTGTTTTTTCCTGCCTTGGATGTTGATGAGCTGCTGCTTGCCCCCTGAGTCCCCTTCGACCTTAGTGTTGGGGTTCTGCTCGTAGTTGTAGTTGAATCCAATAACCCGGTCTGTAAAGTGTGGTGGAGGTATTATCTCCTGACCAGGACCCGTGGCTACGCCAGGGGCGAATTTGATCCTCCGCAGCTTTGAGACTGGATAAGATGTTAGTAAAGAAGGAGATAGCTAGTAGAATATGCCAGGTGTCTCTTTTACCTTTCATTGGAAGCATATGCTCGGCAATATTTGTTAAGAAGGAAGGGTTTGTGTTGGCGAACTGGAAATCGGCCAGGCCTCGATATCTGTGAGTAGCGTGAATACTTCCGACAGCTTCTACTTGATAGTCTTCGGGATTATCCTGCATCTTTCGGAGAATAGATTTGGGCAAATCTTGTCGACCCTGTGAGCTGACTCGTTCAGTCCCCGAGATGGAGGATGTGCCATCTGTGAAAGCGACATCTCCTGTAAATGGCTCGTTGCTTCCCCTCTTCCGTTTCCTGCCTGTCCTCTTAGGGACAGTGATCTTGAGCAGGATGTTGTTAGTGGTTGCATGGTGTGATACGATGGGCTTTGACGTAGGGTTCTCGGGCCGGAACCATAGGGGGACCGAGCTGGGCTCTGCCGAGTCCATGAGAAGCTATCATTGCTGATTAGTTGCTTGCGCCTGCGAGGAATACCGATTTACCTACTTTCTGAAAGTCTGGGTCCGGTCCAAAGGTAGCTAGCCCTTTGTCAAGGTTGAGAATAACACAGGGGTGTTCTATGGCGGCTATTTTTCTCGGGGGAACTTCGAAGATAGGGGCACCGGCTGAGTCGTCGGCGTCATCGGCGTCGTCAGCGTCGTCGACTTCATCATCCACATAGTACGAATCATCTTCGACTTCCATCATGGTTGATATGATACACGGTCGAAAAGGATTTTAAGCCTTATAACTATACGAATTTACAGAAACTTGTAGGATTGTAAAGGAGAACGCTCGATATCAGTTCTCAAGTGTAGCACAAATACCGTTGTAGTGGCTTGCTTAATATGCTGTGCGAAGTTCTGTGATAGTTCTGTGATATTTGATAATTGACTAGGTTACAGCTCTTGAATGGCGCTTCGGTTTCAAAACAATGCGCCACGTTTCCTCGACATAATAGGTCTTCGTGTCTATCCTTTCTTTGTAAGCTTTAAAACATTGAAAGCTGTTGGAGTTTAGAGATATGATATCTTATGAAATGATATCTTATGAAGTTAACCATAATAACTTTCAATCTCTAAAATGGGAGGAGCCAATATAGTGCGAAGCATAGTGTATAGTGTCACCTGACATCGAATATTCAGCCTATGGGCAAAACCCAATTAAATCTTGTACACACAAGGTGCACTGTACTGTAGTCTGTATGTACCTAGGTAGTTATTCTCTTAAGTGTTACAGTTAGGTCGTCACTGAGATCCGCAGTAATTTACGGCAGTTGTTATGTGCCTGCCGAAGTAAAGCCTCTCATTTTTTCCCCCCTCGGCATAATTTAAACTTATTACCATTATACAATGGTAAGCGGCCATTATATTATGGAATGTTTTTACCAAGCTTACTCACATATAAAGATAAGTTTCGTTTTTCGTTAAAAGGTGTACGTGAATAAGTAAATCGCTGTTTGATTGGATCAATTCTGCCCCGCCAACTGGCTTGTGATTCGACACGGCTCTTCACTATGTATGTACATATGAAGCATAAATCATGTAACAGACCCCACATGTACGTAATAACGGCAGCTGGCAGTGAGTTGAGCCTTGCACAAATATATGAATGCATAATATGCAGGTCCATGAGTACAACCAAACCTGCATTATTTAAAAAACGACTTGGCTTCTTCGGGTACGATATCAATTAACGGTTAGAAAGCCTGATGATAGTAATAAAGTTTTCATCATATCAACCACTCTCCGAGGTTATATCAAATTGAATATTTATTGCCGTGGTTGTAACCTTTAATTCTTTAGTGTACAGAAATGTACAAATCACGTACATAGCTGGCAAACTCGATATTGTTGCTAGGGCACATAGGTATGCATTGTAGAGGTGAGGTACTTTAAGTACTTTATATTAACTACATACATTATGTACACTATAACATGTAAGTATCTAAGGTACATTACTGGGAAGGTACCTCTGGTTAGTTGTGGATTATGTACCTGTTAGATACCCTACCCGCATGCATCCCATGCGTGTACTTAATGTACATTCAATACCTCTGGGCTGGATGTATCATAGGCCACTTCCCTTTGGCACCTGCGAAAGTGGCCCTATGGAAGATCACCGGAGTCCCTAAAACTAAACCCGCCTAATGCCTTACTGTCTACCACTCACTCACACTGCTGGCTCGTGTGTGTAGACGCAGAACGCTTCTCCACCTTCCACAACGACAACTCAAACTTCATATCTTTCTAAACTTGTTCAACATTCGACACCCCCGTTCGTTAGTCTCTCTCTCTCAAGCTAAGAGGCTCAGTTTGAGCTATCTTGCATGAGCTATTGCTGTTAATTGTTTAACTACAACCCGCTGCTAATTCGCTTAGTCGACTTTATGCGACAGCCACTCTCCCGCAGCGCCGTCCCGCCTCCTTAAGCCTAACACTGTTAATTCATGAATCTCTCTGCCTTGTACCAAACAGACGGTGAATCCACAACCTAATTCTACTACCCGTTCATCCGATCACCCACTTCTTAACTTCTACTATCGTCATATTTCTTTTTGTGTTTTTCAAAGCACTCGGGCCTTGTTACGGCGACGCGTCTATTGACGCTATACTCTATCAACTTTCAATCTCCTATAACAACATCCTAACGAGACGAGAGAGTCGAGTGTCCCCACCCCGCCGTAAGTAGGGGCCTCGACTTACAAAACAAAGATGAAGGGCTTCAGGCGAGCGGTATGTCTACTTATTTATTTATTTCATGCTTATTCTCAAAAGCTGTCATTCTCCCCGCTAGTATATACACGTCGCTAACCAATCACTACCGGATAGCTCTCGCGAGGCAAGGACAGCAAGTCCACCAAGAAGAATAAGGATTCCAAAGATGGCACGGCTTCGCCTTCGTCTAGTGGTTCTCGAGAGACCCAGTCGCCTGTATTGACACCCTCTTCCTCTACCTCGACGCTGAACGATATCAGAAACAAGCCCCTCCCTCCCAATAATGCTGGAACACATGGTGGTGATCATGGTAGCTCTGCTTTGCAAAGCCAGGCTGGCCAAGCACCTGGCGCTCTGCCCGACAGGTTTGGCAATGTTGGCGCTCAGCAGTCGCCGAATGGTGCTGCTACCCCTCGACATGGTGGTACCCTTCCGCCGACCGTGGTCATTAGCCCGAGTGCTCCAGTAGGCCAGACCCCCTTTTCTTTCCATAATTCTAAGATGACGACTAACCAATCTTTGTCCGTAGCACATTCCACCTCCCGGCGCTGCAGAGACCATGCCGCACGATCTTGCTCCACCCAAAGCCGGCTCAAAATCCATTGTCTTTGACCGTCTCCACCAGACACCGAAAGATGTTCCCGAGGGTCTCAGGACACCGAGGAGGCAAAACTCGTCGCGATTTGACATCTCGACCCACCGAGAACTAGAAAAGCTACCAGGGTTTCATGAAGTACCGCCTAACCGACGACAAGAGCTTTTCATGCAGAAGATTGACCAGTGCAATGTCATTTTTGACTTCAACGATGCTAGTGCCGACATGAAGTCCAAGGAGATCAAGCGTCTAGCCCTACATGAGCTACTTGACTACATAGCCAATAACCGTCAAGTTATTACGGAACCAATGTATCCTCGTGTCGTTGAGATGTTCGCAAAGAACCTATTCCGCCCGATCCCTCCGCCTATGAACCCGCAAGGCGAAGCATTTGATCCCGAGGAAGACGAGCCTGTGCTAGAGGTGGCCTGGCCCCATATCCAGGTTGTCTATGAGTTCTTTTTGCGATTTATCGAAAGCCAAGACTTCAACACGAACATCGCTAAAGCCTATATTGATCATAGCTTTGTGCTTCAGCTCTTAGAGCTTTTTGACTCGGAAGACCCACGCGAGCGAGACTTCCTCAAGACGACCTTACATCGCATCTACGGAAAGTTCTTAAACCTCCGTTCTTTCATCCGACGTTCTATCAACAACGTTTTCTTCCAGTTCACCTACGAGACGGAGAGATTCAATGGCGTGGCCGAGCTGCTTGAGATTCTCGGCTCCATTATTAACGGATTCGCCCTGCCTCTCAAAGAGGAGCATAAGCTATTTTTGACTAGGGTGTTACTCCCTCTCCACAAAGTGAAGAGTCTTAGCATGTACCACCCTCAACTCGCGTACTGTATTGTTCAATTCCTCGAAAAGGATGCCTCGCTTACCGAGGATGTCGTTCTCGGCCTTCTCCGATACTGGCCAAAAGTCAACAGCACCAAGGAGGTTATGTACCTCAATGAGGTTGAGGACATTTTCGAGGTAATGGACCCTGCAGAATTCACAAAGGTCCAGGAGCCGCTGTTCCACCAGCTTGCCAAATCCGTCGCAAGCCCTCATTTCCAGGTCGCAGAGCGAGCCCTGTATTTCTGGAACAATGAGTATTTCTGCAACCTCGTGAGCGATAACGTCGATATCATCCTGCCCATTATGTTCGCACCGCTTTACGAGAATTCTAAGGGACACTGGAACAGGTGAGAAACTGAGGACCAAGTAGTTATTACCTGAGACTAACAGAATGAAATAGAACAATTCATGGGATGGTGTACAATGCGATGAAGCTCTTTATGGATATCAACCCGCAGCTTTTCGACGACTGCTCTCACGAATATACAGAACAGCAAAATAATGCTGCAGCCAGGGAAGCTCTACGAGAGAGGAAATGGGCCGCTATCACAGAGCAGGCTAATAAGAGGAAATCCAACGGCGCCTCTGGGAATGGTACCCCGGCTTCAAAACCATTGAATATAATGCCGCGAGTTGAAGAAGCCGATTCGGTTACGGAGGATAACCAGAAGAGGTTGGATTCGTTGAAGCTTCAGGATGCTGACAGAACTAATCGCCGTACCAACACGCACGAGCGGCAGGGTTCGGCTAGCTCTGCGCGGAGTCAGCGGTGATCTTGATTCCTGTTCCTCCTCCTATCCCTTGCGAACTCTCTCCCACGAAGAGCATTTCAGAAGTGCTCGACTTCTTTTACGATAGAACTTGTAGGCGACGATGACCTGGTTTACACGAACCTCATAAAAATTCTATTTCGTTTTATCCATACACCATCACAGCCCATTGTTTCCAGTAAGCATCGGGTTGTTCTCTCAGCCTAACTTGCGCGGTACTTGACGTCGACTTCGACCTTTGTGTGCGGACTTGACTTGCGTTTTTGGTCGCAAACAGGTAATGTTTGATATCGGCTTGAAGCGGGTCTGTCAGCCTCTGATCCTTCGGCAATACTTTGGATTGGGTCAACATCCGGGATGTCAAGTGCACGTTAGGTGGTTTTTTTCTTTTTTAAATTTCCCAGTACATACTTGATGGCTTTGTATGTCGTCCGAATTCCCCTATTCCCGTCTTCGATATACAGAATTCGGTTAAGGGGGTTAGCAACCGCGCTTACTCTACGTGACGTGAGACGGTGCTCATTATTCGTACACCTACGAAGCCTTGATAAAAGCGACCATCGTTGCGGGAGCGTGAGAATTAGGTATACTCGGAGGACACGACATAGGGGAAGAAGGTAAGGCAGAGGAGATGGACTGGACTGGGCCATCCATGCATGCTGAGAAAAGTGTATTCGGCGGTTCTAAGCGTCAAAGCGCCAACGCCCTAGGGGAAGAGGGAAGTTTAGTAGGGGTTCTGGAAAGCTTGTTCTGCCATCTGTGCAAAGCAAGCAGCAGTGCTTCTCGATCAATGCATGGAATTTTTTGTCTTTTGTCAGGATTGACGGGGAAGAGGAAGGGGAGGGGGCGGTGGCAGATCAGATATTATATTATGTCGTTGTTTTTTTGTTGTTTCGTCTGGCGGCTCCCGTCGCGGCGTCTAGAGGATGGAAATAAGGGCAATGATGATCATCAGCAACAAACGGCTGGTTTAGCTTTGCGAAACGATAATGTCAATCTTGATAGACCTTGTTTTGTGTGTGTGTGTCTAATGTGTGGTCTGGCATGGTGGGTTGATGCGCCCACACGCTGGGTTTTTCGTACTGAAAAGGTGTGAAAGTCGCCACTGTTTGAGTAAAGGGGTACTTAATGGTGAGAGTGCATATGTTGTGAGGAGATGTTGATCGGAATCGGTTGGCGAGCAATAAGTATCTTGGTCTTAATTCTTAATTAGGAACCCATCCGTCCTATCGCTTTGCCCTGTACGAGTAGGATAATACTATTTAATTATTATAACCAACAGTGCCTCATATCTCGAGAGCGAGTTACCGAACTGACTTCACCGTATACGAAGCACCACTATTCTATTTTAATTCTTTATTTTACTCGTTCGTATTATCCAAATAAAGATAATATGGCGACTACTGCAGTAGATAGCCTAGCTTTGGTAGTTGGTACATATATATACATCATCCATCTCTGCCCCCTTTTCTTTCCACACGACTATTCCTCAACATACCCCAACGCCTGGCCCACCTTGACTTTCTGCCCCTTCTCCACGGCCCATGCAAACCCGCGTTTTGCACCGGGGTTCCCAGCAACCGGGGCTTCGAAGACGAGTACGATGGTGCTGCCGAGCTTGAAGCCGCCCATCTCCTCGCCGCGGCGCAGGGCGTAGCCGCCTAACACACTGCTGGCTGCTGCATACGAGGCCTCGGCGAAGCCGGCGTATGGCTCGCCCCGCGCGGCGGCCTCTTCGGCGGCGCGCTCGGCCGCTGTATCGGTTAGGAGCGAATTCGTTCGGAGTTCGCGATCGAAGTTGATGGTGATGGAGCCGACATTGGTTGCGCCTACGGGCACAAAGCTAAAGAAGCCCCAGCGCCATCGGCCGAGGAGGACCACCCGCTCGTTTAGTGTGAATAAGCCAGGTAGTGTGCGTTGCAGGTATGGCGACACGGAGTATAGCTCCCCCGCGAAGTGCCGCCGTCGCTCTACTACCCAGTTCGCTGGCGAGTGGAATCGGTGGTAGTCACCTGGTGCTAGGTACACGACCGCATAGTAGAGGGCTGTCCGGTTCTCCGGCGATAAGAGCGCGTACCAGGGTTTTTCACCGAGCGCTAGGTCCGCTCGTACCTCGGAGACGGCACCGGGACTAGACGGGGTGGCGGCTTGGTCGCCTAACTTCTTGCTGGGGCTTTCGTGGGCCTTGTCCGGTCCAGAGAGGAGGTTAGGTAGAGTGTAAGAGATACCATTTACTCGTGCAAATTCTTCATCTGACGAGACGAGCGATTCGTCTCCGCGCTTTGGCGTTGGCGACTGGTCGGGGATCTCGTTTCCTTCACCAGACAAGCTGGGCGTAGGTGTGTGCTTACCTAGTAGCGCGTCAACGGTATATGTCATGCCTTTGACCTGCTCGATATCATTGCCCTCGATTTTTCCGAACTGTAGCACACGCCCATCGGCAGGCGATAGCAATGCGTTGGGATTCGGGTCCAATGGCCGAACACCGGGCTTCAGCGTTCGATAGAAGAAGGCCGAGAGGTTAGGGTATGTACGGAGGTCTGGCTCGGATACTTCGTCCAAGTTGACGCCGAATATGAATGAGTACAATTTGAAACCGGGGACTCGTAGATAGTAGGGGATGGTGAGTTCATTGAACTTGCCCCATAACCTTGACAATGCCTTCAGAGGCAGAGTTGACATTACCTTCACTTGCCTAATGAGAGCGGGTCAGCCACGAGGTTGACGAAAATAGGTGTTGTATATATCGAGCTCATACCATGGGCCATCCGGTCGTACTCGCGCTCGTTTCCTAGGGCGAACACCAGGTTCATCGCTATCTGAAGCCTCTTTTTCGAGCCTTTCCTTCTCGCGAGCTTGCGTTTTGTAGAACTGCATTAACCCAAGGAAAGCAATTCCTAAGCCGACAGGTATAGGATACCATTTAACTTTCGTCTCTTTGAGCGCGCTTCGCAGTCTTGACCCGAAGCGCTGACTATTTTGGTATTTCTGCGACGTATGATGAAAATATACCCTGGGCGAGGCTACAAGATGCTTCGTCGACCGTCCCGTCGCGGCAGTATACGTTTGTCGAAGCATGCATGGCGATATCGGGCGACTCAATGCGGGCGTATGCCCTCGGACAGACGCCGAGCATAGACTTGCCATTGACATGCCTTATGTCTCTAAGATCTTTATATAAATCGTCTCATTAAAGTTTCTGAGGGGAGGGAAAAAAAGACACGCTAATAAATGGCTAGCTCTAAGTCGATACGTATGTCAATTGAATCAAGCAAGACCCCATACGAACACTAGGGTTTACTTCTATAGTTCTATGTATTAGAACTGAAGTCGTACATACATAGTGTAATAATTGGAAATGTTGGAGATTTGAAGTTTGTTACTGGCCAAATGCCAAATGCAGCACCGGCGGCAGACTGGGAAGACCCTCAATGACGCAGGGCAGGTGGAGCTGAAGAGCTATCCCTTTTCAGCTTGATTACGAGGCGGCGGCAGCTGGCAGAGTCTATGTAATCTGTCGTTAGGTACCTAGGTATTGTACCTTTTGCTGCTTCGTAGCTGCTTGTATGCATTCCGTAAGGTTTAGTGTTATCCGATGTGGAGTAATTACCCAAGATATTGGGGTGTGTATAATACTTTGTAAGCACGGCCCCTTTTAGCCTACCTAACTTAAGGTACCTACCTGGTTAGGTAAGCAAATGACATGAACAGCTTGCAGTTGACGAGTCCCTCGTCTCAGTCCGCTTGCCTGTTGCCGACGACGACAAGCCGTACAACAGCACTTTCCCTACTTCATTTTTCAACTTTGACCTCTTTCCCTATTTATTAAGTCTAAACTTAGTAACTTCATTAATTTAATTAATTCCCTCTCCTTCTTTTTTCTTCTTCTAAACATACATCACAGTGCCCGTCTTGCAAGCATTACAATACCACACAATACAACAAGCTACGTGTCTGTTGCGGGAAATCCGTAATGGTTTTTATTTTTTTGTCTGCCTGATATGTTTTCACCCACCATCCTTTAAGTCTTGGACCTACGCGCAGCGAGGTGAATGCGAATGCACAACTTTATTTAGGATTTACTTCCCGCCCTCGTACTCCCTCTTTTCCCGCCTGATTACCGTCGCCTAGAGCGGCGTTTACACACCTCCGAGCCTTTCTCTAGCAGTCATAAATCGCCATGGCGTCCGACTTAACACCACCCCCAGCAAACTCTCCGGCTGACTCAAACTCCGAGACCTTTACCCTACAAATCCTATCGCCTTCTGTAGGCATACCGCAACCATTAGCGCTCCAGAAACTTCCCATAGGCACCACTGTTAAACAGCTAAAGGAGCGCATCCGCGATGTTGTTAGCACTAAACCTGCTGACCAGGCGCAACGTCTCATTCATCGAGGTCGTTTGTTAGCCCGTGATAACGAGACAATGACTGATATTTTCGGTCAGGAAGCGGTATGTGCCCAACCGTTAAATTCCAAGAGAGGGAAATTCGGCTGACAAGTCTTTCGATATAGCTGCGCTCTACGCATCACCAGACGTTACATCTAGTGTTACGAGATCTTTCTGATAGCCGACCAACGTCTACGCCAACTCCTCCAAACCAGAGCACTGCTTCGGGTCAACCCTCGGCTGGAGTGAACCCTCTTTCCCAGCACCAGCTGCATCCCAACGCTAATCCTTTTCAACCCGAGCCTCAGGCGCGCGCTGGAATCCCTCATTACCACGGCTTAGGCTTTGGTTCTCAAAGGGCTGTCCCTGGGATGCCGGCCTTTGGCCAACCAATGGTCCTTCCGCCTGGCCTTTCTCCGCAGCAGTATAACCAGTGGGTAAGAGCCCTGAATGCTCACGTAGGAGCTCGCGACCATAACCTGCGAACGGCTACTCCAGGGGCGCAAGACATACCTACTACCGGCGCAAGGGGAACGCCAGGAATGAGTACACCTGGAAGGATAGCTTCGCCGTTCCAGGCAGAGGTGACGCGTACCACAGTCAGCGAGAGAACCGATCCCAATGGATTACACTGGCGAATAACTTACAACGAAACGTTTGCGAATCCGCTACAGCGACCAGGAAATGTTTGGGGCTCTCAAGCACGCTCTGTTCCGAATGGGAGCCAGTTTCACGACAATGAAGCACAGGATACTCTGCGAGCTGCGGATACTAGCGCGGCAACTAGGGTTATGGCCGATGCTATGCGAAGGAATGCTAGCAGCTCTTCCCTAGCAAGTCTTGCAACCGGCCAAGCTCAGTATCCTATTCCGCCTGGGGTTACTACACCATTGATTCCATCTCGAGCGGGCAGCGCTACTGCTACACCAGATCCGTTTAGAGCAGCCGGCCAATCCAGAAGCCTACCTATACACCAAATTCAGACGGATTCGTCTCAAATCACGCCAGAGGTGTTTCTCCTATCTTCCCCCGATGGACCTCGTGCCTTGTTGCTCAATGGCAGCTTAGGGGCGTACTTCAGCTCTCCAACTCGAACCGTAAATCCACCTATGAGTGTACCATTTGCGCAGAGACAGTATCCACTTACATTTGCCAATGCTTTCCATCCGCAATATACCGTGCCGGTACCAGCGCCAACCCAACCGCAAATGCCTCCAGCCGGACAAGGACATAATGCTACTCAACTACAGCAACATCAGGCTCAACAACAGCATGGTCCACCTCAGCCCCTTCAGATGCCACATATAGGACATGCTGTAGCTCGTGCAGACAACCCACAAATCCAGGCTATTAGAATAGCTCATTTATGGCCGCATGTTTGGTTGGTCGCTCGTATTGGCTTCTTCATCTGGTTGTTCTCATCGCCAAGATCTAGCTGGTCTCGGTTTTTTTTCATGATTGGCGCCGCAGTCATCATGTTTCTCGCCCGCATTGGCCTTTTGAATCAACTGTGGGTCCCTTTCCGCCAACGCTTGGAGAACTTGATACCTCCAGTCGACGGCCACCAGGACGCGCGAGGCAGGGACGTCCAGGGCGGAAATGGTGCTATGGCAGATGGCGGACAACAGCAAAGAGAACTACATCCGGCTGATACGGCAGCCAGGCTAGTGCAGCAGCGACGTCATGCGAATGCCAACTGGTTGATGGACCAGGTTAGGAGGTTAGAACGTGCTGGTATTCTGTTCCTTGCTAGTATCGCTCCAGGAGTTGCCGAGCGGCATATCGCGCAAGTTGAATCCGAGGCGCGGGCTGAGCGTAGACGACGAGAGGAAACCGAAGCTGCCGCTGCAGCTGCGGCTCAGCAATCAGAGAGAGCAGGTGATGCAGAACAGGGCGGAGATAGTGATACCGCCACTGCCACTGCCACCGCCAGTGAAGAGTCAGGGGGTCAGGATCGATCGCCGGAAGGCGAGAGGGGTAACGAGAGACCACCTACTGTGGAAGAGCCGCTCATTGACATATGAACCCACTGGCGGGCACCAGTAATGCGATACTCCATCAAGAGGTGTGACATGATAAGAGCTGCAGAAGATGGCGGATATTTCACAAGACGTGATTCACGCGTCTTGCGATAAAATAAAGAAAAGAAGTTGGTCAAAATGACATTGGAGGGACCTCAGCTCAAAGTCGAGGCCGTTTTGTAGAATCTCCGAATAGCGGGTTTTGTGTACAGCGTGTATGTATGTACTTATGTATGTTTCTGGAGTTGGCGCTTGCGTGTGAGCGAGGGGGAACGTGTATCAATGAATAGCAACAGCCTGACGAGGGTCGAGGGCTGGCTGGATGGCTGGTTGTGCAATAAGAGACAGGCAAACAGACAGAAAGGCAGAATATGACGTGAGCGATCACGTCGAATAAGACTTTTTCTCCAGGACGGTTACTTCTTGTGTCTTTACGGTCTGAAGATGTGTATTATGATAGCTGGAATATGCTGTATGTGAAATCCGCCTCGTCTACGATTTCTCTTTAGGTCCGACTACGATACCTCATGGTTAGAGGGATGAAATATGTGTAGGTTCACAAATAACACGCCAATAAAACCGACTATCTCACCACCAAGTTAGTCAGTTAATCTACTCTACTCGACGTAGTCTATTTTAACTTAACCTACCCTCCCCCTCCCGTGATATTTCCTACATTCATAGCAAGCCCGAACAAACAAGAAAAGCGACGCGCAGAGCAAATCAGTAACGCAGTCATCAAAAAGTAAAAGTAACAATTCAATCGTATTGGTAACAGTACCCTAACACTGCTCCTTTAGCTCAGCTTGCTCAGTTAGTTAGCCGATAGCATTATCATGCCCACGGACCAGACGTATCTCCTATTCTCTATGTACACACTACATTTATAACCCGACAGCACCTCAAGCATTTCGGATAAACTACAGCCCCCTTATTTTCGGCCCTACTCGTCCGTGACGGCGGCGAATTTATCCAGCATGGCCTGCTGAACGGCCTCGTACTATAGATTAAGTTAGCATCGTATAACTCATTACGCACGTGAAATATCATCCCCGCCTAATAGGAACGGGCCCTTGTTTTTGAACTGGGTCACGTACCTTCTTACTAATAGCCTCCTTTCCCTCGCTCGGGAGCTCAAATTTGAGGCCTCGCAGCTGCGCCTGGAGGTCACTCGTAGCCTCACGAACCTTGGACCAGCTCTGGCCCTGTGCAACGGCCTTCTGCGCCTCGTCATGGAAGCCGACCATAAGCTTCATCATCCATTCCGTCTTCCAGATAGGGCAGAACTGGTCGTAATCCGAGTATCCGTTCTGTTGTAGGAAGTCCTCCTTTAGCAGTGTCGAAATGTCCAGCGTGATCTTGTCGGGGTCCGACAGCGCTGATTTACCGACCAACTGCACCACTTGGTCCAGCTCCTCCGAGTCTGATAGAAGCTGCTTGATACGGTCACGTAACCGCGGGAAGTCGGGGTAGTCCTTCTCGTACCACTTGTCCAGCGCGTTCGTGTACTTGCTGTATGACAACGACGTGTTGATGGATGGAAAGTGCTTCCGTTGCGCGAGTCTCTTGTCGAGACCCCAGAACACTTGGACGATACTGAGTGTCGAACTGGTAACGGGATCGGAGAAATCACCACCTGGAGGACTGACGGCACCGACGATGCTGATACTGCCCTCGCGCTCGGGGGAGCCTAGACAGCTCGTCCTTCCTGCACGCTCGTAGAAACTGGCCAGCTTGGCGGAAAGGTACGCAGGGAAACCTTGGTCAGCAGGCATTTCACCGAGACGGCCGGAAATTTCACGCAGGGCTTCGGCCCATCGAGATGACGAGTCAGCCATCATAGCCACGTTCATGCCCTGGTCACGGAAGTACTCGGCGACAGTGATACCCGTGTAGATGGAAGCTTCTCGGGCAGCGACGGGCATGTTAGAGGTATTGGCGATCAGGGTGGTTCGCTTCATGATAGGCTCCCTGCGGCCCTCAACCTCGATAGATAGCTCGGGGAAATCCTTCAAGACTTCAGCCATCTCGTTACCGCGCTCACCACATCCGACGTACACGATGATGTCGCTGTTGGAAAACTTAGAGACGGACTGCGAAATGACAGTCTTGCCACAACCAAAAGCACCGGGGATAGCCACAGTACCGCCTTGTACACTAGGGAAAAGGGCATCCAAAACTCGCTGACCAACAATGAAAGGGCTGTTGGCGGAGAGCTTCTCGGTCGTTGGCCGCGGGACACGGACGGGCCAGGTTTGCATCATGCCATACTCGGTCTTGGTGCCATTGAACTCGACCTCGAGAATCTTCTCGTCCACGGTATATTCACCCTTTCCAGCGATTCTGGTGATAGTTCCTCTTGCTCGTGGCGGAAGTAGGATCTTGTGTACCTTAATGAAAGAGTTCTCAAGGACGGTCCCCCAGACGTCACCACCGGAGATGTGGTCGCCCACCTTCAAGGTAGGTGTAAACTCCCACTTCTTAGTTCGGTCGAGAGCAGGCACAGCAATACCGCGAGGGATGTAGATGCTGTCAGACTGTTGGGCGATCTTCTCGAGAGGTCGTTGAATTCCATCGTAGATGTTGTGTAATAAGCCGGGACCGAGTTCGACGGAAAGAGGTCTACCGGTTCTATGGACGGGGTCGCCCACAGTTATACCAGCTACGCTTTAATATCAGTTCTACATCATCTTGCTTGGCATTGGGTATGCGGGATGCTTGGGTGGCACGCACCGGTTTCTTCGTAAACTTGGATGGTGGCTTGGTCACCATTGATTCGAATGACTTCACCGACTAAGTTATCGTGACCGACTCTTACGAGCTCGTACATGGCAACTCCGATCATATCCTCGGCCACTATGACGGGTCTAGTTAGGTAATACGTTAGCTTTGTGATCGGAGGTTATAAGTAGACATGGTGCATCGTTTACGAACCCGGATACGGAGTAGATCTTGCCTGCACGTATACATAAGTGATCAGCTCTTCAGACGAATAACAAGGTATATAAACAGTAGAGCTACGTACCACTATTGAGCGCATCTTCGCCATTTGTGGCTTTCTCTGACTATATGCACGAGAGACATTAGATATCTAAGTCATAAAGAGGTAGGGCAAGTCAAGTTAAGTTGCTTGCTTGCTTGCTTTGTTGCAAGTTTTACTACAGATTGGAGGTGGCGGGAGATAGCTAAGCTTACCGGAGCCATCTTGGGAGTCTCTTTCGGTGTAGGAAGCGACTCTGTAGCTGGAGAAACGGGCGAGATAGATATTGTAGGAGCTAGTAAGGGCGAAGCTGGGGGTGACGAGACCGGCGTCGATGTGGTGGAAGTTGAAGTTGAAGTTGTAATTGTAGTTGTAGTTGTGATGATGTTAGGAGTAGCAGTAGCTGGTGATAGCAGCGGGCTGGGCGGTAGTGGTTGGTTAGCAGCTTCAGCTATTAGACCTGTGGCTTTAGCGGCTCTAGCGGCTCTGCCAGGGCTATTAGTCTTAGAGCTGCCAGGTGACGCAGATTGCGCAGGGCTCGAGGTAGGTGTGACCGGTCTACTTGAACCCGGACTTGTACTTTGGCCGTGGTTTCCCCGCCGTTCGATCAGCTCCACTAAAGACTTTGAGCAACAATCCAGTGTCAGTAACGCGATTGCTCCATTGAGTAACGCCTAAGGGGGCTTCGTGCATATAGTAGTGTATGTACATACAGGCCGGGCCCGCAGCGTCGGTCGGAGGCCGAGCATGCAAACGCGTTATGCGGTGTAAACCGTCTAAACTTTCTAGGTGAGGAGTTGTCTTTGACGAGGTCAATGTTAGTCGGATCTGAAATATTGATGTAAACTCGACAAGGCTGCTTATGCCTTAGTTATAAGCGTACGTTGTATCCGGGAGATGTAGTTGATTACAAGTAATTACAACCGACACGAAGGAAGCCACAAGTATAAGTACAATACAAGAGGTAACCGCTAGGTACCTGGGCAGCCTCTCGACCGAAATTCCCCCGCTTTTAGAATTATACCCTTGCACCGATAAACAAATATTGCCTTGCACCTTGCAACAGCTCAACTTGCCGGTCCTTGTTTCTTCTCCTTGAATTACTTGAAATTATGATTGCTTGCTTGCTAGTCTTTATAGATTAAATGCACCTCGAGCCGCAATTGCATGCATTGTAATATATAATAAGCGTATGTCATATTATTCCTTAAGTCTCAAATGCCTTTAAAAACGAAGACTATAGTATTCACTATAAAGATACGTCTAAGAGCTAAGCATACGTAGACTTTTGTATTTTTCTAATTTATTACATATGTCATAAGATACCCGTTCCTACGAGCATCATATATAGTAGAACAATATTGATTTACTCTTCAAATAAATAATATCTTTAATGGTGACATATCATAGCTTATTGAACTCTAAAGGGTTATAACAACTGTGAAGCAACAGCTAAGTAGCAGGGCAAACTTCACCTAAACATATTTAACGATAAACTCAAATATGCAGACATACAGTTCTTTTAATCTCTTAATATCCTACAACCAATACAACGGAGCGGCGTTATCATGATACTCGTTACACTATAGTACAACCCAACAAATACCTACTCCCCCTCCCATTCCCAGTTTTCTCGCCTCTCCCAAACTAAAGATGGACCTGATCCAGCTTCTCCGAAACGCCATTGACACCGTTAGAACCATTGGCACCATCCACCCGATCCGGAATAACATCCCACGACTCATCCTCGCCCGCACCGCGCACCCACCGCGGTTCCGTCTGGAACGAGTCGACGACGAGGTGACTAATCCTCGCCCACATGTCCCCCTTGATCCTAGCCCAAGGCTTGTCCTCGTACTTCTCGCATAGATTTTGGGCGATGCTGACGGCGCGGAAGAGCTTGATGCCGTGACCTTCTTCTTCTAGGGCGTACATTAGAGGGAGTTGTTCTATTATATTAGAGTTTAGTTAGTGAATTTATGAAAATGTGCTTTTAAGCTGTGTATTGTAAATGCGTACCATCTACTGGAGCCAGTTTTCCAGCCCGCGGGACGTATGTGGCGATATTGTCGAGCTCAAGGGGCGGAGAGCCTCTGGCTGCGTACTGGACGAGGTCGAGTCGTATCTTCCACTCGAGGAGCCTCACTTTGGTTTCAATCGAGACCCAGTCCAGGCCATTCAAGATGATGTATATGGGGTTAATATTAATATGGTGCCTATTTGCCGTGAGTAAACCACATAAGTTACGAAGGGTGGGTAAGAAGACATACATGATGAAGAAGTCGAACTTGGGCTCCTTGCCAGGATGGAAAGCTGCGGAGGCACCTTCGTATAGGGCCGTGTGATACATCTCTGCATTTCTCTCGTCTAGCTCTTCCGGCTTGACCTTCACCTTGCTCGCTATCTCGACAATCTCGTCCCATGCTTTACCAAAGACGCCCTTACTAATTTTGGTTGGCTCATCTGTGCCATGGATGGATTTGGTGAGCTTTTCGTTCGTCTTGACTTCCTTTAATAGGCTCTCGATGCTTGGCATGGGTTCCGTATTTGATTTGGCAGTCTCTTCGGTCGTATATAGGAACTCCTTTAGGTCATCTTCATGGACAGCTGCTTGGGCCAGACCCATGGCGACTATGGCAGGCTGTTTCCACTCGATGCCGTACATTAGCTGGATTATGGGGTGAAGGAACCCTAATCTAAGTGTCAACATGTGATATCGACTGAAATTATGTCATTTATAGGGCTTACCAGCAACCATCCGAAGCAGCATGTCTTCACTTCTCTCGTCGCCCTTGAACATGTGTTCACTAAGTGCCTTCTCCCAGCCTAGCTTGTCGATCTCACTTTGATAAAAGGCCAGGAACTCGTTATAATATCTTCACCTAGGATGTCAGCTGATATATTGGAAATAGTTTAGAGATAACTGGAATGGCAGTTTCTAGTTTCCTTAACTTTGACAATAGATGCCAGGAGTCCAGATGAATGAAGGGATGTCCATCCTCAAGTTTGACTTACCTGCGATTACCAAGATACTTCTTAGCTTTCTCCCAGTCTCCGAGCTCTTCGACAACATTCTCACGGATCTTGTGAGCTGGCCTTTGGTACGTCTTATTCACATCGAAGCCTTTCTTCAGAAGCTCGGGAGAGGCCCCTGTGCCGTATAAGGCTAGGATATGATGACTTATACTGAAGAATAGGTCAGCACTTCCGTCTAAGTCTCGAAATATACGACGGGAACTTACTGATTATGGTATCCCTCATCATTGAAGAACACATAATGTTTCTAAACCTCGGATTAGAGCTGTGTTTCTTTTAACCACTAGAGCTCGACCTACCTCGAGGTCCTCCTGCAACAGTTCAGTAGCCTTCTTTGCCGAGGCTTCATTCTGTTGAATCTTCCATAGCCCAGTATTGTCGGGTGTGATTTGGATAGTGTGTGCCGTTGCCATAGTTACTAAATTCCTATAGGTTGAAAGCTTGAAGAATTTTATATTGCTTCGAGCAACTCGCAGAGGGAAAGCAGAAAAGCTCATGGGTTCTTCCCCTTATATATCTTATACTTCAGACCCATGCCAAGCCTCGCCCACCACAACTCGGCCTTTTATATGATGACAAATCTTATAAATAATAGGCAACTGGTGGTTGGATGGAAGTTGCGGAGAAGGGGTTTGCCTGTTACAAGATGGTGTATGTGCAATGGTGACGAGGTCACGATAAGTCCGGGGCATCCAGCATGGATGGGCAATAGCCCCGTCTTGGTAACTAATACAACGCGGATAGAGCGAGCGCGAAAGGTCAACTGCTTATAAACCGTGCATCAACTTAGCAGCTTTCGGCTTCCGCATAGCAGGCGAACTGGTCCCGAATCGGAAGTTAGACTTTACCTATCCGGGATTAGGTATGCAGCTATTGCCGAAAGTCATGCATATATGTGACATCATCCGCATGATTTTGCAACGTTATGCAATATCCTACTTTTACGTATTGGAACTTTTGCCGCCTCTCATAGGAACTTTTGGTTTAAGAGAGTTTAAAGACGAGTACGAGCTTAACTTCTTAAGGTAATGAAGCTAGGTACTAGGGTTATAAGTGTAGGCGAATTAATAAGCATAGGTAACTATAGACCGCCAACATAGGACGTGAACACGATGGACCATGGTAACATTTCTCTGCTTACAAACATAAACAGCCTGGGCATAGATATTATGACTCATATCTTGGTAGGAGATGTGTCTAACCTAAATGATTAAGTGTTAATCACAAGCTCATATACCAAATAGTATGTTTCAACTGTTTGATCGAGATTCTATGATATTCAGGGGGTCGGTGTATCCTCTTGTATTCCCATATATCAAGTCTATAGTACCGTAGTAGTGCCATTGAGCTTTAAAGGTTTGTATCCGTATCTGTTGTGGATGAACTCGGGATGTTTATATATTCTACAACTCTATTACAGGTATCTATATTAGTTAGTATTAGTTAGTTAGATTGTTCCATATCCTGGGGATATGGTTCCCTAAACAATACAAACCTAGGTAGCTATATAAACCAGCCTTTGTAAGTAGGAAATAATACAATTATCTAACATCTTTGTCGATAGAAGAGGCCGAAGGACGATGTCAGAAACGGTTGTCCATTCTTATAGTATTTTATACAACTCCCATCTCGCTGTAGACACCGGTATCTACCCAACCACCTACGAGTAAACACAACAAACGTAAATACACTAAAAGTCCGCAAAGCAGACATGGCAGCAGTAAGGACCAAAAGCGCTGTGTTGCCTTGTTACCACCATAATCGTCCTAGCAACAAAGGCCATACATACGTACACGCCGTTGCCGATCAACACCAGTGATATTCACCTGTGGGACTGCAAGGAAACTACGTCTTTGGAATCCTGTATTATCATGTACCACTTGCTACGCTGCCATACTTCTTATTTTACCAGTTCGCGTCGTATTTTCTCTCATCGGCGATACCAAGCTAATTAGAGAACCTCTTCCCACCTTCCAATTACATTTCTATTCCCAGTAGCCCACCATGTGTAAACAATACCACTACCACTCCGAATGCTTTACCACCAACTGCCACTCCATCCTCGGTTCTAGGAAGCGCAACCGGTACTGCCGCGAAGCTCTCAAAGCTAGGCGTCTCGGGCGTTGCTCAACAGGCGTCCAAATCGCGGGTGTTTTCCGCGTCGTGGAGTCGACAGCGTGTTGCGAAGCCTGCAAGCAGCAAGCCAAGACAAACCGCCAACACGAACAGCAGAACGAACAGCAGGTCCTAGACCAGAGCAGCAGCAGCAGCAGCAGCAGCAGCAGTGACCAGGAGAAAAACGCTAACATCGAGATCCTTGGCTTCGTCGCAATGCCTAAGGCTAAGCCCAAACCCCCGTCCCAACCTCCCATCCCAGCCCAATCTGAACCCCTACCAAAAAGCAAGGGCAAGACCAAGAACAGCAACCAAGACCTATTCGACACAGTCTTCGCAGCCGCCCTAGCAGACATGGAAATCGCCTTTAACAACGCGACTTCGGATACCGCCACCACCAAACCAGGCACCAGCGACACCAACGAGGAAGCATAGAACGCCTCTCGCGAAGTCCTCGTCCCCCAAACTCCGGAGAAGAAGACGTCAACCACCACCAAGCGCGGCCGAAAGCACCGCAGCAAACCCCAAGATCACAGCCAGGATAAGCCTCCCGTCGACGACGCCGAGCGCTATCCCTACGGCTTCAGCCCAACGCCGACCGAGGGCAAGTACGTCTGCGAGTATAGGCGCGAAGACGAGTCTGACTAAGATGGTTATCATGATGTATAAATGAATGAACGAAACATACGTCCAGGTTACTTTATCATCTGCTTTTGGCTTGTCGCGACTGTATGTCATCATCGACCGACTGTACGGCCACCGAGTAAGTAAGTAGAAAGAAGAAGCGCATCATAGCCCTTTTGGTACATCGCTAACGAAGCGTCGCAAAGGGAACGAACGAACTGCGAACTGCCTATTGTGTTATGGATGAAGATTGCGTAGGCTCCGATCTTCGTGGAGGTTTATAAGGCCGTGGATTTCTTAGCAGTGGCAGACTACGTACTGTTGTAATAGGGGAATAGGAATAGGGACGTTTAATATAAACAAGTCTTGTTCGCTCTCGCCTACCGTCCCCCTTCCTTTTCGTGAGTAGTGCTCGTTCCTAGTAAACTACCTAACCTAGATGAGGGTTATTCTTACTTTATCCTCATCCGTAGCCTCCCGCACGTGTTCGGTTAGATTGGGTTCAGTATCTGGATCGATCCAACATACACCAATGCGTCTATAACAGTCCGCTTCCTCTTTACAAAGGCGTACCAGTAAGCCCCATATCATATTTTTTATCCGTTGATCAACGACAAGTATAATATATGCCTGATGCCAATAATCGACTGTTTCTATACAGTCTAGATGTAGGGCTCTCGGACGAAACCCCAATCTTGGGTTTATTGGCGTTATGAATCTTGTTACGCTATGCTTGCCGCTATTTGCTGCAATGTCTGGCTCGATCTTGTAAAGGAGACATCGTAGTTTTAAGTAAGATGCCCTATGGCTATTAACAGCACCTTGTTTGGCAGCCGTATGCCCATCATGGGCCTCGTCAACATTGATTAGGACACGGTCCTGAGGGTGTGGGATAGCGTCAAAATAAACTTGTCTGTCAAAGCTAGCCCAGCTCCACGAAGGACCGCAGTCATACGAGGGTGGCACATCGGACATCCTAGTCCACCAAAGAAGCATCCACGGAAGCTGCGAGCGCCATAGGCCTGCGACGTAAATATCCATATCTTTAAGAGCCTCCTGGACTCGAGACGCAATCCCAAAGATTGCTATTAACTTGTCGGTTTTATATGTCAATTCTAGAGTTGAATACTCGGAGATTATGGTCATCCAGTCCAGGAATAGGTCGCGTCTCAAGAGCTCGATCTTCTCGTCTATGTTGAATCTTTCAAGATGTGCTAATGTCCTCTCAAATCTAGGTACGTCACTATATATGGAAAAAGGTGACTCCTTGGGATAACTAATAAAACTACCTGGGAACGGATCATGCCTCGTTTCAGAAAATCTTAACCTAGACATTTCTGATAATGTAAGATTTAGGCTTGTTAGATTCATAGCTAAGGGAGCTCGGCGCTCGTCAAAATCGACGTAAGGTTCGAAAATGAAAGGAAATGTTTCGCATGCAGTTGTTTGGTTGCATTCCCAAAGCAGTTGGTCTTTGGCGCAATGGATTTGTCGCGGTGATAGTGCGCGTTCTTGAAAAACCCAGGCTCGCTTGTTTAGTGGTGCTTCCTCGACATTCCTACCCCAGAATCTTCGGGAACTGATGAGGTATCTCTTTGTGATAGGGTTCTCTTCTACCCCCCCTATTCGTAGTATAATTTCTAGGGGAGAAACTATAGTAGGATCCCGGGAGTAGAAACAGCCTTCGGTTGGTCCTTCAGCTGCTGTCGCTGCGATATTGCACTTTGAATGTCGATATACGTCGACCATAGCTTTGCTCTCATGTATCCAGTCGTCCTCAGAGCCTTGGATAATGCATAACGAATCAATCCATAGGTAGTCGTTATGAAGAAACCGCGATAGACGGACAGCGTCTCGGAATGTCTTGGGGAGTTCTCTGTATAAAAATCCATTCTTTAGTCGATCTTCATAAGTCTCGCTCGTGAGCTTCAGCATCTCGAAAGCGATAATACCCCAACAGTGACTAAGTGTCATGTAACCCCCTTTAGGTGGCTTGTCTTGTGTTAAGTGAAGTTGTATATTTAGGGAGCTGAGATCTTCATCGGTGAGATATCCATTAGGAAGATGGCCGATATACAAAAGCCTCGTCGGATACCATGGGTAGGGGCGGAAGCTGTTGCATCTGCCATGGTGATTTATGCAGTTCTCTATCCAAGAATCACATAGTTTCCATGCCGTTTCGTTATCCGTTGAATGCGGGGGCGTATAACTTAGGTCGTGGTATGTTTGTATGGATGTTAACTCCTCACGTACCCTCTGTCGGCCTGTCAAGAGAGCGAATCGAATATGTTAGTCGCACCGTTGGCCACACACTTAGGTCGACTCAAGATAGCTTACGCGAAGTGCCAGGGTAAGAAATGGTTTCGTGCAGTTTTGCATACATTCGTATAGAGTAAGCCGTCGTTATAGACTTTAAAAATATCGCAAATGAGGAACCCCGGTTTTGTGCTGCGCTGAGCATCGTCTCATTCCAAACTTCCGTCTCGGGGTCTCTATATAATCTTAAGCTTTCAATCAAGCGTGGCCGTCTTGCGCTGATGGCTGATGGAACCTTTCTTACATGATATCATGTCTTATTACAATGCAGAGCTGGCAACCGGATCTGGCTGATTTGTGTATATTATGATAATACTCAGATGCCACATTTCCGGTACCATTAAGTTGATCAAAGTTCAATTCAACATTAGAAAGGAACTCGTTGCAATAACTGCAAAGTTTTGGCCCGAATCTGCTTGCAAAGACGTTGCCTTCGTGACTACTTGCTGACGAATTAGACATTGTGCCTACTGACTTTCCCCGAGATCGCATCAACTTAACAGGCGCCAGAGAAGGTTTAAAAGGGGCTTAAGTAAGGTGTATTAAGATGAAATGGTGCTGAATAGAAGCTGATGCCTAAATTCCCGATCCAGAGGAAACCCGTCACTATATAAGACTTTCATAGGCGCCGTGCGGCTACATAGGTACTACATCAAATACTACCCTACAGGGTGTTGGTTATCTAAAAAGAATCCTCAAGCTTACTATAACTAACGGCATAGTGTACCAAGTTTAAGCATCGAACGGTTATAAAAATGGGACGCTTTTTGAAATGGAACAATAATTCAAAACTAACACAGAAATACGACGAAATGGATATATCAAGCGAGCGTACTACTCAGAATTTATCAAATCCAGCTTACCTAGCTGCCTTAGGTAGCCTTGATGAACAATACACCTAGTTACAAGATATTGCATTCTAGTATAAAAAAGCTGGTGCTGCAACGTAACACATCGTCCCTCAAAACAATCACCACTGATAAAACACATCAACTCAACATTTCATAATATATTAACAAGATAAAACCGTCCTATACGACAAGAATAAAAAAGATAAAAAAGTGTAAAAATGGTATGAATCATAACGCTATAAATCCCCTCGTAGCCCCATATCCCAACACGCATGCCTACGTGACGTCCCAGTATGCCTTGCCATCCATGCCGGCGCCTACCCAGGCGCTTTGGGGGAAGACAGGGGCTGCGGTTCTCCGCCCGATGTTGTCCGACCTACCTATATGTATGTCGGCGCCGTCGCGTCTCATATCTTCCGAGACACGCGCAGGCGGAGTCACCCTGCCCCTATCATGCATGGCATGTCTGCCTGCCCCATTCCCATTGTGGACCCCTTATTTGGAATTTTATGATTTTCTCAATTTTACTCGGTTTAGCAATAGCGTCATTTTTTTCACGCCTGAGATTCGCCTTCCCAGAACCAGTATCTATTTTGCGTGTTAGCTTCGTATGCAACCGGACAAATAAATGTCATGGAAAGGGGTTGGAACATACTGTGCTGCGTATTGCACCTCAAATGCCGCTGGCTGTCCCTGACACGTGGCTGGCGCGCTGCCACCTGCGGTCTCGATGCGGTAGACCTCCTGCAAGTTGCCTGTGGAGCCGGATTGGGTCTTGAGGCGGAGCCATGGGACGGCCTTCTCGCCTTGTTGGCCCTTAGGCGCGTCAGCAGGTGCGTTGGTCTGGCTGTCCTTGGTGCAGCTTGCTTCGCCGATCTGGCTCTGAGTCGTGTCGAGGTTGAAAAAGGGCGTCGTAGTGTTTTTGAAGAAGTGCTTGCCGGAGATGATCAGGTTCGTGGGACCCATGCGCACGTCCTCCTGCGCCGTGAGGTTGAACTGGAGAGCAAGCTTGGGCAGGAGATTCAATAGATCCGGGTACGCGGAGGCGACGCAGCTCGCGTTGAAGAGTGTGGCTACGGCACCGTCGGCGACGGGAACGGCGGTGGCGTTAGTTGTGTCGCAGGTGTAGTTCTGCGTTCCACGGCCGATAGCTACGTGCTTTAAGATTAAACCGGCAGACGGAGGAGACAGTGGCTCAGGGGCTGAAGATAATGTTAGTTACAATTCTTATAATACTTGGATAGGGAAATAGTGACGAACCTGTAGCCATCTGTGCCTTTGAGATATCACAAACTGGGGCTGACGACATGTATTTCCCTATCTCAACCTTCTGTGCCAACATATTGAAGTACTCGGATACGGTCTCGAGCCCGTCAGGCTTGGCGGCATTCCAGTTGAATGTGGGCCATGTCGGGGCAGCGATGACACTCGAAGCACCGAGTAACGAGACTAATAATGTCGAGACGTACATCTTGATAGATTTGAGGCTGATGATATATGAGGAAGATTATAGGATATTGGTTCGTAGTCGAATTGATGTGGTTTCTTGTTTGAGATCTCAAAGTAGTCTTGGTCGTGATATGCGTAGACTAATAAGAAATAGGAAACCCAAAAGAAACCGACCCAGATATAATAGATAGATAGATAGATTGAGGTAGATGAGATAGACAGATGAAGTCACAAGGAAATAAAAGAAATACTAAGGAGATAATAGAAAAACGTAAAAGGAAATGATCTCCAAGAGGAGAAAGAGATATATAGGATAAAAGCTTGAGGATGGTATATACAACGGTTCATCATATTCGGGAGCGGGACGAGATGGGGTTTATTAAATTCTAGACTGCATACATACAGAGAGCGGAAGAACGGCCGTCTGGCTGGCTAGTTCAGGTGCCACGCCCTACCCCAGTCCAGCGGCACGACAGCGTGGGACCCTGAACGGATCCCAAATTAAGAATCTGGGTAGCATACCTGTAGGCAGACCGGGGTGCCTCGAGAATTCTGATCGTTGAAGAATGGCCGTCTGCCTATGATTCCGCGGTAGTGGACGAAGCCGGACGGCGGTAGACGCAAGGAGGGTGGGATTGTATTTTAGGATATCCCTGCCGTCGATTCAACATGGGACTCTGAATGGAGAGCCAAGCGATCTGCAGCTAGGGACGGCTGGCAGGGGTGCCGAGCTCTCACCCCGCCATCTGACTGGCTGGAAGGGCTGTCCAAGCTACCGTGTAAGCGCCAGGGCCGCCTCTTCTTCGGCCAGCTTATTACGCTCGGTGGTTGGTGTAGCCTTGAGAGAAATGAGAACGAGGGCGGCACCGGCAAAACACGTTATGTTTGAAGCAACCAGAGTCAATTCAAATTAGACAAAAGATTGACTGTGGATAGTGAGGAAAGTCGTGTTTTGCAAGGCAGATTATGGATACGAGAAACAAGATCTAGTAACTATGTAACCTGGGTATGTACTGAATGATCTATGTCCTTTCTCTAGTCATGCTGATGGAAGTTATTTGTTATCGAGCACCACTGAGGCGCGGGTTGTTTTAATCCCATGAATTACGTGACGAGACTGGAAGGTAGGCATCTATCTAGGATAACATCTAGATAGCTATAATTCCAGCAGCTGATCGTGACGCCAGCAAGCAAGGCACAGCTAGGTCAAGTATTAGCTTAGGTAACCTCGTGTATAAGTGAAGCACAGGATACTCAAAATAAGCTAATATGACCCTCGCAGCTGGTCATGATTCCAATGTTGTACCTAAAGATCTCGAAATCTGGGAACTTCTAGATCCGGCTGGGTGTGCAGTTTGACCGTGACTCTAAGATCGACCTAGAACTTCAGTCAGTGCTGAGGCATACTGACCTCTCATTGGTGGACTTAGTGCAGAACGAAGGAAAAGAAGCTTTGTAGGGATAGATCTTGGTTGTGCAAACGCCCATCAGATCATACTACGTAGCACTCTGGGATCTTTTGTCCATGTAAAGGTCTAAGTGAGTGGACAGGGTCAAAAGAAACAAGGGAGTAATTAGCCCTCGAAGAAGGTGGGTTAATTTAGAACAAAAGACCACTAAGATGGTTCCGGGCTAATTCGACATGGGTTAGTCGCTGTTGCTATTTCTAGCAACAAGCGCGCTAGCGAATCGTTTGTGGCCAGACCCGAACCCAAACCCAAAAATAAACATAATTAGCTTTTTCTTTCCCCTCGCTTAAGTGGAGATATCCATACCCGTTCTGGCCAATTTGCCCAAAAATTTACACATTTACCAATCACAACGCCGCCCGCTTTCTTCATTCTCGGCTGTCCAAGTCGAGCTACCGACTGGCTGTTTGCATTACACTACGGGCAAATTTCGATTATGTATTCGCATGCAATGCTACCCTTACCCGCTCGCACATCGCAAATTAGCTTCTTATTACCCGTCTGCTAATCTCGCCTCGTCCCAGGTCGACTGCTGAATGGAGAAGGCGTCTCGCTCGTCCGACGGAGATAGTGTCCGGACGCATACATATATTGATAGTGTATCGATATCAGGTATTCTACCTGCCCCTCTCTCTGCCTGTCTGTCTTACATAGCTAGGTTTCTAGCGAAGCAAGCCTCCCGACCTCGTCCCGTCTGTTGTGCTACTTTATCAAGTTTCGGGTGTGGGTTGCAGCCGCGGTCAATGAAGAAACTTATCTTTTCTAATTCGTTGTTCGCCTACGGTAAACGTTGAACATGTGTGTATGCGCAGTATAATCTACATTTGTACGCGTATGACCCCGCGCCAAGTATGCCATGGAAATCTTGGAGGGTAAGCTGGTGGTCAGTAATAGGTTGGTCACTCAAGTATGGTGTTTGCTGAGTAGCTGAAGATGTGTGTTGCCAACCGTTGAAATTAAAGAACTCCCGCCAATCAGCGTAGATCGTACTCTATTAGTCAAGGCCTTACCGGGGTTTGTCTTCGGCGGGCCGCTTACAGATTGCGTGCATAGTATCCAACGTGGCGGCTCGAGATAATGACAAGTTAGATCCTGGCTCTCTCTTGTGACATGGAACGAATGAAGGTTCGTCTATAGATAAGCAACTAGTGCTGAGAATGGCCCTTGTGATCTTCTTGCACTGCATGCTTTTCTGACACTATAGAAGGACTGCTTGCTCCGATTACCTTATTTCAATGTAGAGGTGTTATGGTGTCCGGTTCATGTCTATGATGGTATCAAACGTTACTCGGAGATGTAGATACACTGCATTGTTTCACTGCCTACCTACCTATACATTCAGATGGTGGTGAACTATTCAAGACGAGATAGGCTGGTATTGGATGTATTGCGCGTGCCGTATAAACAAAGATCGGCTAGTAATGATACAATAGATGTATCCTGCGGACGTAATCATCAGTGCCCATTGAAACCCTCTTCCTGCCAATCCCCGGCATGAGCGGCCTGTCCTCTCCCACCACTATTACCGCCAGCTGCCCCTCCCGCTACTGCGGCGGCGGCTATACCCTGGCTAAGATTGCTCGAATGCTTCTCGACGTCTGTCGCACCGAGCCAGTACAGCGAGAAAAATACTAGGATGTGTAATGCGACACAGTACGCTGCAAATAGGTTCCTGCTCGTTCGCGAGGCTAACACCATCCGCGTCACCGAATACACTACCCTCTCCGGGAAACTCATCCGTTTGTAAGCTCTTGCTGACTCGCGCCCTCTGAACGCCGCAAACGGCGAAATATTGGACTCATACGCCTGTTTATACCGGTCTAACGCAATACCGGGGTTTCCAGTCCCGCCCATAGCGACCACGGATGGATTAGGATTTGATGAGTACGCCGACGCCGACGACGTCGACGGCACATTGCGATTGTAAGTCGACACGTATCGTGTCTTTTCGTAGAGCTGAAGATTATCCTTCTGTAAGGCTGCGATCTCTTGGCGTAGCTGCGACACAGTACGATGACATTCTGACAACTCCCCTTCGAGTTGAGCGTTGCGTTTTTTAAAGCGATCACGTTGCGCGGTGATCATGGGCAAGATGCCCGAACCACCACCCATCGGCTCGCCCCCTGTCGTTCGAGGGTCGAAACCGGATATGATAGACGAGGTAGGCGATGTTCTTCCACCCCTCCTTCCGGGTGCTATAGACGGCGCGTATCTCGCGTACGTGCCAGCCACTGACGCTCCTGACGGGAACGCATTGTGTCCTTCCGACTGAAGGTTGGCTAGATCGTTTTCCAACTGTGCGTTAAGGTTCTGTGATCTCTCCAAGTCCGCATTTGTTCTTGACATTTCCTCTTGGAGGTTCTCTAGTCGGGTTTGAAGATCTTGATGAGAAACCCGTAAGATAGTTAATTCGTCACTTAGCTTCTTATTCCTGGCTAATAGCAACTGTTCCAGGGTGTCACCTTTCCCTTTGGGTGCGGAGCCGTTTGATTCCGAAGCAGCTAGCATATCGTCGTCATCACCCGTCGCGAATTCGATGCTTTTGAGGACCTCTAGTTCTTGCTTGATATCATCGTAGTCGTTCCACTTCTGTACCTTCGCTTTTAGAGTGTCGCGTTCCTCTTTCAAAAGACCAACTTCTCTTTCTAAGCCTCTAAGTTTGGTATCAACGTCCCTCTTAAAAGCCTCCTTTTCCACCCTCGCAGAGTCCAGCTTGCGAATTAGAGACGAATTTTCCGACCTCATGCGTATATACCCGGGGTCATCCTCCAAAATTGGTGCGTGGGCTGTGACTTGGGATTTGGATTGGGCGAGCTCCAGCCGTAACTGCTCATTTCGAGCCTCAACATCAGCTAGTCTGGCACTGGTTCGTTCTAGATCAGAATTGACCATTTCTAGCTCCGCATTCGTAACGTGACCGTAACTGCCCTCAGCGTCTGCATCTTCGGATCCCTTGAGGCGTTGGTTCACCTCGTAACTGGCCTTGATTTCATTCAGCAGTCTCTCCTGACTTTCAATCTTCTCCTCTAACGCCTTCTCCTTTGCTTCCCAGTTGTCCTTTTTCTCGTCTACGACCGCGATCCATGACTCCTCTACTTCTCTAACCTTAGTCTCGAGATTGCTTTCTAATTGCTTCCTGTTGGCGCTTTCTGATTGCAGCCTTGACTCCGTCTCCTCAAGCTGTGATGTAAGCTTGGCGACGCTTTCCTGTAAGTGTTGGTTTTCGTCGGTAAGCTTAGGTAAAGTGTCTTCGGCCACGAGCATAGAGTCGACCGATGCTTCCAACAAAGGATACGGATCGGGAGCATTTTCGAGGGCGGAGTAAACTTGTAAAAATGCAGAATTGGTTGACTTGGAATGGTTGGTGAGCAGATCTATAAATGTCTGGTACGCTTTTAAAAGGCCCTTGATCTCCGTCAATTTGGTCGCATCGTCTAGCTTTCTGAAATCTTTTGTCTTCTGGGCTAAATCCTTTCGTTGGACTGTGGAGTCGCGCTGGAAGGCTACGATGTCGGAAGCAGTATTGTCGAGAGTGGACATTAAAGAGCCCAAATCAATGTCTATTAAGGGTTAGGATCGAACATGACAGCACTAATATAGGTAGCAAAATAGGTAGCAAAGAATGCGTACTTCTCCATGCTGAAATAGCATGCTGGAATTGGTTTGTACCATCCTGGCTAGAAGTATCAGCCTGCTCATCGCCAGTGGGCTGGGGTGGTGGTAGTTGTCCGGCTTGCGGCGACTCGGACACGTTGGCCATGATTTTTCCTTTTCCTTTTCTTCTTCTCGACAAGGGGCAGATGTCGCTGCCACGGTTATCGAAGCATTAGATATGAACCAGTAGAAAAGGCTGATATACTATAAGAAGTTATGCGACGGACGACCGATGTTAAGTCGCGAGCGCCGAGCAGATGGTAGATTGGTCTAGAATAAGAATAGTTGTGAAGGTTGAACGTGTTCGTTCCATGTCTCGACGCACACTGCATCACTGCATCAGTGCATCTAGTAGATGCAAGTGCAGGGATTCGTAGGCTCGGCAACTTGGTTTGATTAGCGGATTTAGTGCTAGAAATAGACTATAATCCACTGTAGCTGCCTTTTCAGGTCCCTGAAGAGCTGGGCCATTGATGATTGGATAGGCACCTACAGGTATCTAATGCACTAACCTAGAAATTGTAGATGTACAATACGTAATCTCAGCTCAAGTAAGCTCCACCTCAGCTTCCTATTCCTATCCTGACATCCAAATCCACAGGATGCTGCACCTGTATTACCTTATCTTCACCACTATTACTTCTACTACCACAAGGAACCATCATGACCAACTCTAATTCCTTATGATGCTGTCGCTTTCACCATGGCGTCCGAACCTCAAAGCGACAAGAGCTCGCTACAGGCGTTCGGTGCTGGGCCCTTCGTACTTCGTACCCTCTTCGCAGACGTTCCACTATCGGAAGATGGAACAAGGGACGATATAAAGATTAACTGTGTCGAATATTTAGGTGCGCATGGGATATGATCCCTTCCCTTGCAGTTTAGTATCTGTCAAGTCCAAGCCAGCTGATTCAATCGTCAGATAACCACTTATACGTAGGCACGTCCGACTCGGAACTTCTTCACTTCTTTCAGATACCCCCAGATCCTGCAGACAAATCGAGCGCCCCGACCTTCATCCTCGCCTCAAGGCTGCGCCCTGCTTTCGCCGAATCAGCAACAGCATCCAATTCCACGAAGCCCGGTGTTCAGCAAATACTATTGCTGCCAACCGTCAACAAGGCTTGTATTTTATGTAACTGGACAGTCACCTTCTATTCGCTCCCAGAATTAAGCCCGGTCTTTGGCGGAACACAGGTCAAGAATTGTAATTGGGTAGGCGGAATAGATCTCAATGAGTTGACTACCAGCCAAGATGGACGAGAAGGGCCCACAGGCGTCACCATATTGCTATCGCTTAACCGGAAAATTCAGGTGGTCAACATAGCCGATAGGGCTCATCCCATAAAAAAGATCGACTTTGCGGGAAGCACAATTTCTATAAGGAGAGATTCCATTGCTTGCGTAGCGGATTCGCGCAGTTATGCCTTGCTCGAAATTAACCACCAATTGAAGATCCCCTTGATGTCTATATCATCACTGGACGAGGCCGAGCCAGGGAATATTATTGGTCAAGCCCAACATATTTCCGGAAGTTCAGGAGGTGGGTTAAATCGCAGCAATTCCTCTGCACAATCTCGCTTGCAGACCGAGAGTCCCGAACCTCCTACTCATAGGCGGGGAACTAGCTTGGGCGACCTCATCACGGGTGCCAATCGGAGGCAGGAATCTCATGCCGCCGAGGACGAGGAGCCAATCTCGCGACAACCAACTCCGTCTGAATTAACGGCGGGCCAATCCCCTCCTGAAAACCTAAATGTCCCAGCACCAGATAGAGCCACAGAGGGCCAAACAGGTCGAACCGTCCCAACTTCTAGGCCTAAGCCGGGTCTTTTGAAACCGCTTATCGTATCTCCAACGCCAGAAGAGTTTCTGTTAGTCACAGGTACAGATCCGCTAGAGCCGGGCATTGGAATGTTTGTAAACCTAGATGGCGATCCAACAAGGCCTACCATCGAGTTTGATCGATATCCTAAGGAGATTGTCGTCGATGGAGGCCCTATAGATACATCTTCAACGCGGACGTCTTCCGCCCTGGAAGAAGAGGGGTTTGTCCTTGCATCAATGGGGAGAGACTTCTCTGATGGTATTCATTATGGTCTTGAGATTCAACGCTGGGATACTGACGCAGCCGAGGGCGAGGTCTCAAAACATTGGCTCGAACCTCCGAATGCTGACCCGGCTACCAACTCTGCACATAACATAGGGATTCGATCATTGCGCGGGGCAGATGAGACACACTTCCCGGAAATTGTCGATAAATTATGTCGGCGGAGATTTGCTCCGTTTTTATCAGATAACTCAAACGCTTCGACAACGTCTCTACGAACTTGTGATTCTAGAACAGCGTCTTCTATAGAGAGGGTGTCTAAAGAGAGAGAGCTTTTTGATAGAGATACTGATTCTCAGAGTGAAGAATCCTTTCCCGATGGTTGGCAGGCGACACGCAATGCTGAAGAAGAAGATTATGCTCGCCGCCTCGCAGGAAGTACGGCCCGCTTGGCCGTGTGGTCCGGAAAGGATATATGGTGGGCTATTCGAAATCCGTTAATATTACGGTTAGATGCTCAGCTAGAAGCGACGACGTCTGCGCCAAAACAGGCATCTACTAGGCGACAAGACTTGTTCACCATCCTGAATTCCTTCCGAGGTCAAGACGCTAAATCAGAATTGGAATTTCTAACATTTAACTACATACGACAACGAGCAGGTATACTCTTATTAACGAGCTTCCTAAAGTCGGAAGATACCCCTTTCTCGGAATCAGAGCTCCGAGCCATGGAAGAGATCTTAGTTGATAGCCTTCTTGACCCTCGAGTTGTTCTATCTCTTATACCTGGAGCTCGTAACGAGGTAATCGAGACGAAACGAGGCATCTGGATATTTGGAGGTGTTAAATCGACCGCCGAGGAATTCATCTCGAGTAGGGACTTTGGTAAGGGTAACTCAACTATGAGCACACTACCACAGTCTGTACTACATTTCCTTAGGCGTTTCCTTTCCGCGTGGCGGCGTAAGAAAGGCTTCGGTAGCATACCGGACGAAAGCGAGGTTTTTCGTACAGTTGATGCGGCTCTACTTGCCGTCCTCCTTGAGCTCGATCAACATACGGCCACAGGTCCGGCCAAAGCAAAGTCGATCCGTGCGGATTTATACGAGCTCGTAGATACGGGGGTCGATTGTTTCAACAGAGCAGAGACATTGATCGAATCCTACCACCGTCTTTATGTGCTTAGTAGGCTCTATCAGAGTCGTAAGATGGCAGGAGAAGTTTTGGCTACATGGAAACGCATCATCGAAGGCGAGCGGGATGACGGGGGTGAATTAACCGATGGCGAACAGCGAGTACGCGAATATCTCTCCAAGATTAGCAACCAAAGCCTGGTTCAGGAATATGGGATCTGGCTTGCGAATCGAAACCCGAAGCTTGGCGTTCAGATCTTCGCGGACGATAAAGGCCGTGCCCCGAAATTTGAGCCTACGCAAGTAGTTCAACTCCTCAGAGAAGAGGCCCCCGGTGCGGTAAAGTATTATTTAGAGTATCTAGTGTTCGGCAAGGGCCATACTGTATACGTCAACGAGCTGATTATGTATTACCTGGATATTGTGATCACTCGTTTTCGGACGTCGCCTGAAGCTCGAGATGTAGTGGCGTCTACGTATACGGCATACCGTGCTCTGCAGCCTCCTAAACCCACGTACCGTCAATTCTTGACAGACAACGCTCCCGCCGATGACGAGGCGTGGATTAGTCGGCTACGGCTCTTACAGTTACTTGGTAGCAACCATGACTTTGATTTGGCAGTTATCAGGGCCCGGATCGCAAGTTTGAATACCGCGGCTGAAGACCTTCTCGTACCCGAGACTATAATACTCGACGGCCGAGAACGTAAACACGAGAACGCACTGCGCTTACTAGTCCATCATCTCGGAGACTACGATACGGCCGTGGCCTACTGCCTCCGCGGCGGCTCCAGCATCTACACTATCTACCAAGCCCAGCAAAGCCAACCGCCCATAAACCCGGATGCTCCTAAAGCGCCAACGCGCCGCGATAGTATGCCACCGACGCAAGATCATCAAGCTCGGCTTTTCCGCGCCTTGCTTGGCGAGTTCCTCAAACTAGAAGACATTAGCGATCGCTTGGATCAGACGGGCTTGCTTCTGGATAAGTTCGGAGGATTCTTTGACGTCAACGATGTCCTGTCGGTAATACCCGATAGCTGGAGCGTAGATTTGGTTGCGGGTTTCTTGGTGAAAGCACTCAGACGGATCGTAGTTGAGAAGAACGAGATTACGGTGGCGAGGTCGCTTAGTTCGTCACAGAACCTCCAGACACAGTACGACTTAATCGTGCGTATCCAGGAGAAAGGACCTAGCATTGAGACATAGGGGTAATGATGTTCATATAATGGCTATGTTCTTTGGAACGTGGTTGGTTTCTTGGCGGGCATTTCGTTGCGATCGCTTGATGCGCCGTTCCTCGTATAATTTATACCCTATCTAGGTACATTCCAAATCCATTACAACAAATTAAAGGCTCACTCCGGGTCTCTATTTGGCTTCACATCGTCCTCGAGTTAAGCTTGTGGCCTTAGTAGATCGCATTAAATTAAGCCCATATTCATTACTATGATGAACAACATCGGTTTATTATGGTCATTAAGTCATCGCTTCGCTAGGAGTAGATGCTAATAGACATCATAAACGAGACCCCAAACTCCAATCGACGCCACGACGGGCGGCCAATCTAGATGTAGCTTCCCCGCTATGCAACTGGAATATCAACTCTCTAAGTCGCCGTGGTAAAGATGTCCAACCCCTCATTACCCCAGATATCTATCTATGTATCTAGCTAATGACCACACATCGTACATAACTCACTGCACCTGCAAAATCTTGCTCTTCATCGCCTTCTGCCTTAGCAGACCCTCCACCCATTTATCAGCCTCCTCGAGCGCCTTGCGCGGCTGCCTCTTGCGCTTGAGTAAATACCCCTGTATCTGGGCGGGCGAAAACTCGCCGTCGGGGATCTTGGCGCCGAAGGCGGCTGCGACGCTGGGGAGCTCGGAGATAGATATGTCGAGATCGGCGGGTTGGGGGGCGGGTACCTGCTGATTCTTGTTGTTCTCGGATGGTTGGGTAGGAGGCCGCGCCGAGTCCTCCTCGTACATGCGCACGAATAACTCGCGCGCCTGGTCCCGCGTCGCATTCGCGAAGGCTACTTGCAGGTCGACCCTGCCCGGGCGGATCAGTGCGTCGTCGAGCTGTTCGGGGGTGTTGGTCGTCATGATCAGCACGCGGCCTTCTTGGCTTGCTACGCCGTCGATGGCGTTGAGGAGCCCGGATAGGGAGATGCCGGATTTTTGATCGCTTTCGCCTTCTTTCTTGAGCGCGCGCGCCAGGTCGCTGACTTTCCAGTCGCGGGGAGCGGAACTATTGCTGTGTTTGCTGGGCTTGGCGGTGATGGCATCTTGGGGCTCGGGTTGCGAGGTTTCGTCGTCGAATTGGTTGAGGGATGGACGGCGGAGTCCGGCTGTGTCGATGTCTACCGGAGGGAGTAGTTAGTAGATGGGTTTAGTTTCGGGAAGTTTTAAGACTGAAGAAGATCTAGGAATTATGACCTAGATATTTCAGGGGGTAAAGGGACAGCGTGAACTTTGATGTTGCCGTTACCAGTGTGACATACCTTCTAATAAGACAATGCAGCGGCGCGGGAGCGAGGCGAACAGTGCGCTTAAATCCTCTTCCGTCAAGCTCGGCTCGAGAAGCGATATTACGTGAATATCAAGACCGAAGATCCCGGCGAGAGCAAACGAGAGCGACGTCTTGCCTGTTCCTGGGGGTCCATGGAAAACTACACCAATAATTGTCAGTAATTATTACCTTTTAGTTTTGAATAGGGAAGGCTAGCTCCCAGGACAAGTCAAAAAAGGAAAAGGGGGTATTTAAAATACATACGGTATCCTCTCCGTAGTGGTATACCTCTATTTGAACTGCAGAATCAGGAGTCAGTAATTTCTCTTTTGGGATATTTAGCAAATAATCGGGAATTCAAGCTCTTGTTCAAAGCCTATAAACGATCGATACATGCTAAGAAAAGGGTAACGAATAACAGTGACTGTTACTTACTACCACTTTGGTGTCTCCGGATGTAGGTACTCGTTAATATCCGCAAGAACCTGTAATTTCTGCTGCTCGTCTAGCACAACAGTCTTAATATCCCTGATAGGTCGATTCGCCACCTGATGCCAGCCAACGCGGCCCGCGTACCGACGAGAAGCATTGGTGCTTGGCCGCTTAACAGTGGTCCTGGCCTGGTGGTCACGGAAGTACTGCTCCTTGGCATGGGCTAGTAGCTGCTTGATAGGTTCTAAGTGTCACTCACGCGTCAGCTCGTATGTGTGTGAGATGAGGGGGGGCCAACGACTGGGGAGCTTTACCCGGACTTCTCCAAAGGCACGAGATGATCAGGTCTTCCTGGTCCCGGAACATCTGCCCTGACATGCTACTCTCATCGAATATCGACTCCCGCTTGCGGTTCAACTGGAAGTACTGGCCGCGCCACCAGAAGCTGTGCAGGCCGACGGCGGGACTGAAGAATGGCGGCTGGGAAGGGTGTTATGTTAGTATGAATGCACTGTGTGGTACTGGATAAAGTGGAAATAGGAATAGGAATAATATAAGAGGAGGGAATAGTTAGTAAACTCACAGCCCTTGCTTCTTGGTTGGAAAAGTTAAGGTAACGTCCAGACCGATCTCTAGCCACGTCCGACGCATCCTCGTTCAGCCAGTCCCTCTTACTCGCCGTCTCAGCGACCAGGTCTCTCGAATTCACCATCCTAGGGTGCGTAGCGAGCCAGTCCATGAGATGGATGTAGATGTCGTCGTTATTCATGATGTGTACACTGCTCATGAAGTATCCGGTAACAGCCCGGTAGAGAAACGAGTACACTTGACGGAGGACCTTGTTAAGGGCCCATAGAACACCGACCACAGCTAATAGATTGGACGGCTCGAAGCCCAGCCAGCCCCCGATGAACCCGTAGATGGGCGCGAGCCCGCGGAGCCCGACGAGAGTCAGGATGCCCTCGACTGCTTTTGCATGGTGCGTGTTATCAGCTGCCGAGGAGTTGCCGCCCGCATGCGATATATTTGCGTTTATGCCTGGAAGTAGGCTGTGAAAGACGGCGCCGTAGTCCATATCTAGGTACCGTGATGGTTTTATATCACATGTGGCGAGTACCGGATATTGAAGAACCAGTGGTTGATGGTTTATGGTACCCAAAGGGAGAACAGAAGGATGGGCAACTTCTTATAAAGAGGTTTAATTGTCTAAATTAGCAGCCAGAGGGCAGAGCTATTTTCTAGAGCCTCCTTAAGTAGAGTAATACAAGTAAGTATTTAGAAATTAAGTGGATGATGATTTATGTTAGTCAGGTATATATATACGGATTATAAGGTACGTAATTACCAGAGTCAACCTATTATGTGGCGAATACATATGCCTGCGCATTAGGTCTAATACATGTGTAAGTCGTCTGCCTCCTACCGAAAAACTCACATACCTACCTACGTATACCCCCAGCTTCGAATATAAGAATTATCAATATGTTGGGACTAGTTAAAAGTGATTTTCTATAAAGTATGACCAACTCTCTGCTCTTTAACTTTTTATATGCTTGAATTGGTCGTTCTAACTTATAGTGCTTATATTTATCCCTTATAGGGTAGGATTAGCGCAACTAGATTGCGAAGCGGCAAGGAACTACTTGTGATGCGACTATGATTCATAAGTATTCAACAATATAATCTGACTCAAAGCGCCCATACTAGAGCTGCAATTGTCTGTATACATATGTGGAGTATATAGATGGGTCTAGGTATGATCAATGCATATAATCTTGGAGATAGTCACCCTGTAAAGTGTCATATATTACCGATGAAGGCTTAATAGACATCCAATCAAATCTAGAGTGTTTACTTAGAAAAATGCAAGTCATCCATCCAGAGATCCTATTTAGTTTTCCTGCTTCACTTTCTTATAGAATATACTTCTATATATTGCTCGTGATTTCCTTATTCTACTATCCCACCCCCTATCAATTAACCCACAACGATGCGGGCTTATAATGGACCTACTAACTAGGTACCTAAGGCAGACAAGGCCAACAAATCTGCCGAAAGGTCCTTTGAACGAACACCAACTACCTTAGGTAGCTAAGGTGGCGTCGGCGCTAGTAGACTTACAAGTCCTAACAGCACAACATCTTGTTCGGTGTCTCATAGTAAGTTGGGGTAGGCTCTCGCTACTCTGATTGGAATATCTAGAAGTATAAAGAAAGCAATTAAGACTATCTTGAAAGTGCACGTCGGATAAAGGGTCACGCTGAACGTCCAATAAACAGATGCAGGTCTCTAAAATATGCACTATCCCACATATATCCCCGTACGTTATGTATGTTCCCAGCTGCTAGTGCTACATACAAGTAGACTTCTAGTCCCAACGCCAGGCCAATATAGGGCGGCTGAAAGATACTAAGCCTCCCAACTCCATGGCATCCAATATCGCACAAACAAGACGGCATGCACCACAATCTAACGTCTAAACAACCGAACCAGAGCTGGGCGGGGCTCGGCCCGAGTCAATCACGAGCGTTGGGCCCTTATAGGAATATATCCGTCCTGGATACTGCGAGACGTTCCCGAGCACCGTTGCATTTCACGCAGTTAGGGTGACATAAAAACCTGAGCTAATATTGATGGACCAACTAGCATATGCCTCATGAATTTCTTAAGGACTTTGCGGCTGTCGAGGTAGGGTATATCGGTTTGTATTAAATTGGGGAATGTTGCAAAGATACCCTCCCTATACCTAAATAAGCCTATGGGACCAAATGGTTGAACGAGGCGAGAACAAACCTCATCTCGCACGAGACCAACCAATGCTGGTCCCGGAACGAATACTTCGCTTCTCTCTGCGGGTAATCATGGATATCCTAGCATCCTAATCCGAGTAGAATCCCTCAATTCGGTCATGGGTTGAGAGAATTCTCGTATCGCCAGAGGCCGCAGAGCCTCATATCGGATCGGAAGGAGAAAGCGACATGTATATGCTCGTGTCTGCACTAGACCACATGTCCTCAAGCTGACGCGTTGTAACCCGAGGTCGTGCCGTTAATCTAGCCCGATCCATTCAGCTTCAGACTCACCCTCAGACTGCATGTGGTCCTCCAAGATGAGCGTTTCCCCTGATGGAAGCATCTTCATAGGGGTATCTCCGCCTGTGGTTAGGGCCTGGCCATTGGTATTTGCCTTAGTGGTAGCCTGCCCAAGCAGATAGTCGACCGTGTATACGTTCTCGTCTGCCAGTCGTTTGATTTCGTTCCGCATCCTTGTAACGGCTCTCGAGACAACCCGTAGCTCAACATCAACTTTACTTCGATTTGCCGTAAGCCAGGATCCATGCTTATCTACCAAGGCTTTGATCCACAGGAGACAAAACTCGATGTGGGGGGATTCTTCGGTCTGAGCTGCAACAAACCGTAATAGTCTTGCGACATATACAGTAGGGAACTGTTCCACTACCAATGGGATGTCCGTGTGCGGCACGGACTGAAATACCCTCTTAATCAAGCCGGCTTCGTTAAGGCGGAACGCCATGACGAGAGCCTTAAGGTAATCTCTCTCGTTTTCAAGAACAGCAAGGGTAGATGCGGGTGTGATTTCCATATTGAGATCGAATGGGTCAAACTGAAGCTCGTTGTCTACGCTGTATATGAGAAGGCCCTCCGTGGATGCAGCACAAAATGAAGTACCGGCAGGTGAGAAGCCTACGCTAGTCACTCTCACTTCAGGTAGTTTCTTTCTGGCGGACGGATCCCCGCCTCTCTTCGAACCTGGTAATAGTTTATCACGTCGAGCCTCGCGGTCCGAATGATCTGCCTCGTCATCGAGTAACCCCTCAGGTCCCGCTTCTGTAAGCAACTTACTGTTCAAGAACTCTTGCGTTCCCGACAACGAAAGGTTGACACTGACGGTGAATTTTTTCAGTAGAACCATAGTACTCACAGAATAGAGACATATGTATTTACTGTTTCCGGCTGCCAAGATGCAACTTCCATCTGTGCTATATCGTATAGTATTGAAACTCTTGGTGCCGGCAACGTTAGCGGCGGTTCTGCGGTCACTGACTTTTCGACCTCCTGACACGTCTCGCCGGCCATCAAGGCCTGATACCTGCTCTGCATCGGAAACCGACCAGAATGATAATTGGCCATCCAAAGTAGAGATTGCGAGCTGTGCTGAATCTGGCCGGACCGCAATATCGAGGACATCTGCTTGTAATTGTAGAGGCTCGCTAGTTTGTGTGCGACTAAATATTGACCACATCCTAGCCGTCCGATCCCAACTTCCACTGAATAGAGTACTTCCATTCGGCGAAAATGCCAGAGAGCAGACAGGGCCTTCATGGCCGGATAACTGATCAAGCAATTGACCAGTCTGCACAGACCAAATATGAACATCGAATGAGTCTAGAGACCCTGCAGCGACCACTTCACCGCTCGGATCAACTGCCATACAGGAGAATGAAAGCCGGCTCGGGGCTGTAAAGGTTCGAAAGTTTCGGTACCGTATGAGATCCCAGGCCCGTATGGAACCGTCTAAACTCGAAGTAAATAATACATTACCCTTCTTTGCGAACTCGCACGCAGTTACGCCACTCGTATGCTCAGTGAAGGTCACTATACAGAATCCGGAATCAACATCCCAGACTTTGATTTTGCCATCGTCAGCGGTGGTAATAATGCGTTTTCCGTCAGGGGAATAGACTAAGGAGTTCATAGAGTCAAAATGGCCCTGCTGTTTTAGAATGTAAGACTCTGACTGCCACTCCCAAACAAGGAGTTGGCCTAGCTTAGAAGCCCCAAAGGCCAGCCACTCTCCGCTCTTATTTATTGTGACGAAGTCAATTTCGTTCTGAGATATGCTGAGCGTATGAATTGTGTTGAACTCGGGCATTTCGTATAGGCCGAATATTCCGTTAGAAAAACCGGCAACTAAGAGATTTGACTCGGGATGGAAAGCGGCGCATCTAACATGAGCATTGTTCTGCATGAAGTAATGCCTCTGAACAATCCTCCAGCGCATACCGTCGTTATCGGCATCTTCCATATCTTCGTCCTCATCTATCGGCGGCGCATTAGGATGCCTCGTATATTGCCAATCAAAGACGGCACCATCTTTGCTGACAGTGTATATTGTTTCTTGGTCTTTCGAGAACCAGGCTCCGATCACAGCCTGCTTGTGACCGGACAAGACTGTTGGGGTAAATCCTTCTTCCGCATCCAAGCTCCATATTCGGGCTGTCAGATCTCTAGAGGCAGTTAAAAAGAAGCGCGAATCGGCGGACCATTCAATGTGACGGACGTCATCGAAGTGACCCATATGCGTGTGGTGTCGAACAAAAGGTGCAAACTCTAGCTCCCCATCTGCGTTCGAGTCGGGAGTTGATGGAACTTGCCATACTTCCGTCTTTCGACCTAATCCTACAGCGAAGTGGCGCCCCGAAGGTGAAAAGGCGAGAGCCGTGACAGGAGATCGGAAAGAGAAGTGGTATATAGAGATTCGTCGCGGGACGTTAGTTAGAATTGCGTGGCCGTCTTCGTCAACGGAGAGTAGGAGATTGCCCCGCGGCGTCAAGCCAATTCTCGAGATGTTTTTCCTATGCGCGAAAGGAAGTGTGTATGATTTGTTACTGTTGGCGTGGCGTAGTTAGGAATCATGTCTTTCTAAGCTGAGAAAACTGAAATCAGACATACTCTACTAAGTTGAAAACCGTAACTCGGTTTCCTACAGGTGAGAACAAACATGTTCCATCAGGACTATATAAGAGGTTGCCCTGACAGTACACGGTCCCGAGAAGGTTAGAAAACTATTGCGACAATTAGGATATGTTTCGTAGCTTATAAATTATATAGGGAATCCTTACTTTAAAATCGGTCTTCATTGTCACGACATAGTTAGAATGTAGACAACTTTGCTAGAGAATTATGCCTTCAATATATTCATGGATTGTATGCGCCGAATTGGATCTAATCCAGAACTTTTTTTTGTTTTCCTTATCAGTGATAAGATAATACTTTTATCCAGCAGTCCACTGGCCCAAAGCTCTAGTGTAGCAGTTCAAGGAAGTTTCCTAACCAATCAATCAATGACAAAGACTCCTTCCTTAGGATTGACGTTACCACAGGTACCTCCACTAGTGTTTAACCTAATTAGGCTAGACGTCATTGGAATTAGTACCTAGTGGCAGGCGGTCAAGGCTTTAACGCCAGAACGCTCGAACCACGGCTGGGAAATGGGGAAAGGGGCCACTGCCCGACACTCAATTTAATCCCTGTCCCCTTTCGGTTGCCCTGCACTTGAGGTTTTGTGGTAAGGAAATTTGCTTGACCAGCAACGCTTTCCCCTGAAGTAGCCCGAACCCTTTTGTCTGTCAACATCACACGTCGGTTCGTATCCAGAGAGTTTCTACATAGAAACATCCTCCGACAATCAATATACAACGACAATTAGGCTTGGACGCTTTCTTGGCCTTGTACCTTTATTCTATCACAATCAACTTTCTTGTTCTTGTCTAACAGCTTCCCAATTCCAATTCCATCACAATGCCTCCAGCCACCGCTGCCGAGAGCGCGTCGCCAATTGGCATTGCCAATCTGCCCAACCAGCGACACAAGATTGTTGCGAAGAGAGGTGCAGCTTTCACTATTATGGTACTGTACCTTGTGAGCTTCAGGTTGTTATAATCCATATCACTAATAGCTATATCAGGTTGCCGGTGAATCTGGTTTAGGCAAGACCACCTTCATCAACACCCTCTTCTCCACAACCATCAAGAACTATGCCGATCACAAGCGACGACATCAGAAGCAGGTTGATAAGACCGTCGAGATCGAGATTACCAAGGCTGAACTGGAGGAGAAGTTCTTTAAAGGTACTAGCTCCATTCCAAAGCTCAATTAGCTACCTGCCATTTACTAACTATCGTACGTGCAGTTCGCCTAACTGTCATTGACACACCTGGCTTCGGCGACTACGTGAACAACCGAGATTCATGGATGCCCATCATTGAGTTCCTTGATGATCAGCATGAGTCTTATATGCTCCAGGAGCAGCAACCCCGCCGTCAGGACAAGATCGACCTCCGTGTCCACGCTTGTCTGTACTTCATTAGACCCACTGGCCACACCTTAAAGCCTCTGGATATCGAGGTCATGAAGAGACTCTGCTCAAGAGTCAACCTGATCCCCGTTATTGCCAAGGCTGATACTTTGAGCCCTGTTGACCTTGCCAAATTCAAGGCTAAGGTATGTTTACGTATCCATAGGCTCATCGTTCTACTGACTAACGTGTATCTAGATCCGTGCTGTCATCGAGGCCCAGAGCATCAAGATCTACCAGCCACCGATTGAGGAGGACGATGAGGCCGCTGCCCAGCATGCACGCAGTCTCATGGCCGCCATGCCTTTCGCTGTTATCGGCTCGGAGAAGGATGTCAAGACGGGCGATGGTCGTATTGTGAAGGGCCGTCAGTACTCGTGGGGTGTTGCCGAGGTCGAAAACGAGGACCACTGCGACTTCAAGAAGCTACGTTCGATCCTAATCCGCACGCATATGCTTGACCTCATCCACACGACCGAGGAGTTGCACTACGAAGCGTACCGAGCCCAACAGATGGAGACCCGGAAGTTCGGCGAGGCCCGCCCCCGCAAGCTGGACAACCCCAAGTACAAGGAGGAGGAAGAAGCCCTTCGCAAGCGCTTTACCGAGCAGGTCAAGGTCGAGGAGCAGCGATTCCGACAATGGGAGCAGAAGCTCATCGCCGAACGTGACCGCCTTAACAAGGATCTCGAGCAGACCCACGCTCAGATCAAGCAGCTCGAGAATGAACTCGAGCAAATGCAAGGCAGCCTTGCTCGCAGCGGCCGCCGCTAAGGAGTTTCGCTCTATATACCCCCAAATTCGCCAACGAAACGATTTGATTCCGCTAGCGCTAGTTTAATGCTTCCGTCCAATAGGGAGTATGGAGTTGTTGAGAAAGCCGGGTCCCAGCAGCATCTCTGATTCTACGGGATGATGGGTCGTTGGTGGATGATATGCTTACAAGCTAATTTACATGTGTCGAGAGGTGAATTGTCAAGGTCCTAACGGTTGGTGTTGTTGTGTCTGCTAATGGCAGGGGAAGGAGGGTTATGGACCGGCAAGCGTGTTGTGGCTTACCTGCGATATCAAAATATTCTCCCTTTTGGAGGTCGACTTGTGACCTCCGTTTCTCTCCAGATCAGTTAGGTTTATTTTACGATGTAATCGCAAATTTCTATGATACCAGTAAAGCAAACCAGGGCCTTTTTTTTTACCCTGTGACTCTATCCGCACACTTTTAACCTTGGTCAAACTAGACCCTATGGCGTTTTTAATGCTACATATGAGCTCATCGATTTAGTCGATATAATTACTTGTAGTCCCATAATCCTACAGCTATGCATTTACTAACTTTCCCACTACTAAACAGCGTCCATTGCTGCTCTCGTAGCTAGCTGTTCGTTCTTATTCCCCAGCTTCGAAATCTGCAGGAACGCGTCTACACCATATCCTTCCAAACTATGTAATTCTAGGCTTCCAGCCCAGTACTCGGCGTACACCCGACTCAACGGGAGACCCATCCCGAGGCGGAGGTTAGGTGGGCGGGTGGACAGTGAAGAGAGCGAGCTATCGTGGCCTGACCGCTCGCTCTGCAGCCCATGCAGCCTCCCGTCGTCGACTCTAAGCTCCTGCAGCGTAGCTGCCATGAGCGGGACCTGTCCGAGATTCTCGAGGCGCTGGTTCTTGAGAGGTCCTTTGCCAAAGGACCATAGATACGGGAGAATGTCCCGCGGGATGCCGCCGCCTTGGTCCGAGATGCGGATGATGACGTGCTGCTGCGCCTCACACAAGGTCACTTCAATGGGTGGTGGGTTTGAGGCGGGGTCTTTGCTCTGCTGATGCTTTTCAATGACGGCCTGGACCGAGTTCCGGAGGAGCTCGCCTATGATATATTCCAAGTGGCTTAGGATATACGGGAACGAGGAGTCCATGTGCCCGTTGATCTTGATCTCGGGGATCTTGGTGTCGGGTCCATTGGCAGATCGTGCGAGGTCCTGGACGGCTTTTGCGCAGTGCTCGATTACGTCCTTAGCTACGCACTTGATGAATACCTCGCCGATGAAGTCGGACTCGGAGAGCTTGGCTCCGGGCGAGAACCAGTGCGAGTTAAAGGTTTCAGTCAGGGCGAGGTGTTGCTCTGCGATCACTCTACGGGATATTCTCTATAATGAGGAGATATTAGCTCGGATTACATTCGAATCGCTGCAGCAAAGCTACTCACGGATCGTAAGATGGTATTCATGAAGTGATCCAGCTCGGATGCGGGCATTAACCCGCTACATTCAATTATACCCATGGCTAACTTTGGGATCACAGTCAAGTGGGCGCGTAGCATCTTGGCGATCTCTGTACAAAGGTGTTCATTGTCGTCAAGCGTCTTGACCTCTCTGATACGCCGGAACGTGTCGAATGCGGTATAGTAGAGCTCATACACGTCGCTGATATGCGGGTTCGTAACAACTACATATGGCAAGCGTTGCATGTCCCGGATTCGGTGGGCAATTCTCGTGGGGAGTTCGGTTCGAACATAGTTCGCGGAGCTAATCAGCCGCGCCTCGGTCAGTGACCGGCCGAATACCATCAATTGTCGTAAGCTAATGGGACGAGCTTCCTTCACAACCCATCTGCATACACATATGAGAGCTACTATCAGTCACACGATACTACGAGCATACATAGAGCGGGAACACCATACTCATCTAGGATCTGCACCGGTCTCCATTTCGCTGTGTGCGACCACCGCTTGCTTGTTCTACTGGAATTGTTACGGCCGGTTATCAATCTCGAGGCGAGTAACGGCGAAAGAGGGACCCGAGCCGAGATAATCGAGGCTCGCGGGCGGGAGGTCAACCGAAGGGTTTTGGTGGCATCTTGCACCGCGAATGGTAACATACCGACGATTCCATACCAGAGTGAACGATACAACAATTGGGAAAGATATACAAGAGGAAGTAGGAAAGAAAGAAAGAAAGCGGTGCTCTCGTTTTTGGGGAGAGAAAGAGTCTGCGTTTGGAGTTGAGCTGGGAAACTCGCCCTCACATGTTACCTACTCCGGGATGGGCATCGCATGTTCCGGTTTCGCTAGATCGATTGTGGTTCCATACAGGTAAATAAGGAGGAAGGTAGCGCTACTGTGACGGTAACGAGGTGGTGACCTATGACTCTGAAAGGTCTTAGTGTTAAGGGCAAAGGACTTGGCTTAGTGTACCTAACGTATGGCTTGCAGAGCGGGAATGATGAATGATACCCCCCACATTTCTCTAATCGATATGCCGTATAGGTAGTAGGTTTGATACCGGTATAGAGGTACATTCATGCCGGACAGGCAATTTTCAAGTTTAACAAAGAAGGACCTCAACGCTGGCCTTTAATCATTACGCCCTTTACTAATATAGGTATATTTACCTCGTTATTGTAGCCATGTTATAATATAGCAATGTTCAAAATTTAGAGTAATTATATTAGTACATACATCCAAGCACATAATATTAAGTATGTAGGGCTTAATTAAGCAACATATATCTTATAGTTGTATTCGTTCTAATATGTCTCCGTTAACTTGAATTCTATACACACATGCCTAAGATAGGATTATTATATAGAGGTATAGAATACCTAGGCAGATGGGTCGTCTATTCTTTTTGTTCGTCCCACTACGTAATAGCCTATCCTCTAGATGAAGAAATCGCACTTGCTGCCTCGGCCATGTGGGTGCTTACCGTAGTAACGTCATTGCCAATTGAGAGGTATTGGCGGGGCTTCTACAATAAAAGCACGCCGTTTAGTCAGCTACGGCGTAGAAGTCTTTAGCAGAAAGTCTAATGTACATTATCATTCTAGAAGAGAGCAGTAGTTCCACTTAGAAATACGACCAATTATAAAGTATAGGCTACCTTCTAAAACATTCGCCCGCGCCGTAAGGTTCAAATGCTCAATGTTCCTTACATGTACCATCAATGCTGCCCTAGTGTAGAAAATGTAACAGATCCGTCCAATTCTCCCCCGCTGCGCCTTCTGCTCCGCGCTCCAGGCTGCCTTATGCAAAAGCGAGAGAGAAAAAGTACGCTGCTACCTGTACACGTATATGGACCCGAAGTGTCACAGCCCACTTTCTACTCCCATCTTAGCGCTTGTTGGCCTGGTAAGTCGATGAAGCAATTCTCTACTAGAGCTTCACCTCCGTTTTCTTTCCTTCAGATATTTCTCCTTTCTCCTTTCTCCAGCCTACGTTTAACCAACCTGCGCCTAGTCGCGTAACTTCATTAACCTCTAATTCTAGCTCCCCCGACTGCTCTTGCTGCAGCGGTTAGTAGTGAGCTGCGCTGCCTCCCCTGCTATTTCTTTCCACGCCACCCGTCGTAGCCCCGCTGTGTCTGCAGCTGGACCTCGACCATATTTTTATCTTGCGGGTTTGGGAGGACCATTCGACATTGAGCCTGGAAGTCGGCAGCAGAGATTGTTAGAGATAGTATTAAGCAAATCATAGGCAACCATGGTAAGCCAATATCTCCTCTTAGCATTATTTAGCACTATTAGCACTGTTAAACTACTTTAACTACCTACTTTTACTACTCTTACTCTACCAAAGAAACGCCACGCGATAGTCTCTTTATTGAACAATCCTTTCCTATTCGTGCGCGCCCTACCTTACCTAGACTTTCCCAAGCCAACTCTAAGCCAACTCTTTAATTCCAATTAAATCCCCGATGACATAAACTCCGACCCAACTTTTCTGCTTCCAATCACGAGTCTAGAGCCAGCTAACGGTATCCTTCACTTATCAGAGTTACGATTCCGAAATCCACTCGCCGAACGAGATGGTGGTAGACACCCAGGACGAGATGATCGTCCAACCGACCCTAAGCGAGAAGGATCAAGTCACAGAGATCAATCCAGAACAACTGGACAACGATGCTGAGAATCTCGAGAGCGCTATCTTAGCTACCGATTGTACGTATAAGTCCTAGATAGCATGAATTGGATACTTTTACCTCAGAAAAGATTCCCACTAACAAACACTACCATTCTAGTTGAGGCTATGAAAGAAATAGTGCTGCCACCTCTCCTAGACGAGCCTAAGATTTTAGAAGATGTCGTCAATACATGGACCGTACAAAACTGGAGGGCCCTCTCCAAGAAGGAGCATGGCCCCGTATTTGAAGCCGGTGGACACCCATGGCAAGCACCTATCGGATACCCTTACTCGAAGAGCTGGCTTGCTGACTTGGCTGCGCAGGCGAATTCTCCTCTTTCCGTTTGGAAATGGCGTTGACCAGTCTTCAGTATATCTTGAGCATGGCTTCCCAGATGCCAATAGTATACCTGAGGACTGGAGCTGCTGTGTACAGTTCGGGCTGGTCATGTGGAATATTAATGACCCATCCCTCTTCTACCATCACACAGCCCATCACCGCTTTACAAAGGAGGAGAGTGATTGGGGTTTTACGCGGTTCCTCGAGTTAAGGAAAATGTTCCAGCAACCATGGGATAATTCTGGCCGCCCGCTCGTCGAGAACGACTCCGTCAATATCACCGCCTACGTCAGAGTGGTCGAAGATGAGACTGGTGTGTTATGGCACAACTTCAATAACTACGATTCTAAGAAGGAAACCGGGTATGTTGGTCTAAAGAACCAGGGTGCCACATGCTACCTTAATTCGCTATTACAGTCGCTATTCTTCACAAATGCTTTTCGAAAGGTCAGATGAAAGCTTCTAAAGAGGAATCTATCTAGTTGGAAAGGTGCACTAACACGTTTTAGGCCGTTTACGAAATCCCGACGGCGGAAGACGAGAGCATAACTAATAGCGCTTACGCCCTCCAGAGACTATTTTATCAGCTCCAAATTTCAAATCAGGCCGTGAGTACCAACGAGCTAACGAAATCGTTCGGCTGGGACACACGACATATCTTTGAGCAACAAGATGTGCAGGAACTCTCCCGCAAGCTAATTGAACGTATGGAGGAGAGGATGAAGGGCACTGCAGCGGAAGACGCTCTTCCACGTATGCTCAGCGGCAAGATAAAAACGTACGTTTCCTGCATTGACGTTGAATATGAATCCAGCCGAGTCGAAGACTTCTGGGATATCCAACTCAACGTTCGGGGAATACCAAATCTCGAGGAGAGTTTCAGAGATTATATTCAACAGGAGACTCTTGATGGCGACAACAAGTATTGGGCAGGCGACGAATTCAAATATCAGGACGCTCGTAAGGGTGTAATATTTAAGAGCTTTCCCGAAGTATTACATCTCCATTTAAAGCGGTTCGAGTACGATATCCAACGCGATACGATGATGAAGATCAACGACCGTTTCGAATTCCCCGAGGTTCTAGACCTGAAACCTTACCTTGACCAGGATGCGGACAAGTCCGAACCGTGGGTATATAAACTGCATGGTGTCCTGGTGCACAGTGGTGATTTGAATGCGGGTCACTACTATGCCTATCTTAAGCCCAACAAGGACGGCTGGTTCTACAAGTTCGACGACGACAAAGTCACAAAGGCCACCATCCGAGAGACACTGGAGGAGAATTTCGGGGGTGAATACCCAGCCTCTTTTTTACAGTCTCGCACAGGCCTCCAAAAGAAGTCTCCGATTATGCGTCAGATGAGTGCGTATATGTTGGTCTATATCCGAGAGTCTCGGCTGGATCAAGTTTTGACGCCAGTCAAGAACGAAGATTGCCCGCCACATCTCCGTAAGTTTCCTCGCGTAACTCAAGCTAAAGATTAAGCTAAATTTTCATAATTAGAAAAACGTCTGGATGAGGAGGCGGCTGCACGTGAGGCCAAGAGAAGAGAACGTGAAGAGCAACATCTTTATGTTCCTATTAAAATTGTTACGGAAGAAACGTTCAAGCATCACGGTTCCACCGACCTTGCAAACTTCGACTCTGACCCTGCCGAAGATCCAGCAGCCCCTAGGTTTTACAACCTCAAAAGAAGCCTTCGCGTCGAAGATTTTATTGCAGATGAGTTTGCCAAGAAAAACGGATTAGATCCCAAGAGAATTCGCTTGTGGGTTATGGTAAATCGCCAGAATAAGACCACCAGACCTGATCAGCCGATTATGAACGTGTCGGTGCAACTAGGCGATATTTGCAAGCAAATGGTCACGACAAATAGAGATTCTGCCTTGAAACTGTGGGCGGAAGTTGCAGAAGAGGTTGATGCTGAAGGACAAGCTATTTGGCCCACATATCAGGGCAATGCCAACGATGTGGTCGTTAAGAACGACTTGATTCTTCTCTTCTTGAAGCACTTCGACGCTGAGAGGCAAGTTCTCGAAGGAGTAGGTCATATCTATGTAAGCAAGGAGAAGAAAGTTGAAGATCTAGTGCCCGTGATCGCCAAGAAGATGGGCTGGGGCGACAAGTTACCCTCGGGAGAACAGCTGTCTATGTGGGAGGAGATTAAGCCGGCAATGATCGAGAGTCTTAAGGCGAAACAAACCTTGAAAGCTGCTGAGCTCCAGGACGGCGATATCGTATGCTTCCAGAGAATCGCCGAGCGGAAATCGGGCGAACTTCTCGGGAAGATCCCTCGTCTTGGAGATAAGAACTCGGAAGAGACGCCTAAACGATGGGACCGATATGATGATGCCAAGGGATTTTACGACTTCCTCTGCAACAAGCGAGAAGTTCGCTTCGATCCTCACCCTCGCTGCGAGAAAACTGATTATAAGAGCTTTATTCTTACACTAAGCACGAAAATTACTTACGATCAACTTTCGGAGAGAGTAGGCGAAGAGTTAGGTGTAGATCCTACTCATATCCGCTTCTTCACTGCCAACGCTTCCACAGGAAGTCCCAAGGCGGCAGTCAGGAGGGCTGTCAGCCAAAACCTCGGTACCATACTGAATCCAAATAACTACACTCAACAGACGATGCAGACCAAGCCCAATTCTCTCTTCTTCGAAGTTCTAGATATGAGTCTTGCAGAACTAGATACGAAAAAGAATGTTAAGGTGACTTGGTTGAGTGAAGGCATGACGAAGGCCGTGAGTTTTCCGAGATATGTATATGGAATATATCTAATCAGGATTTTTCTAGGAAACATTTGACGTCTTGGTAAATAAGCAAGGGCATATTGAAGATCTTGTGCAGGCCTTCGTAAAGAAGGCGCAGATCAAGGATGAACGCGAGGGTGGTCGAATTCGGGTCTACGAAATTCATCACCACAAATTTCACCGGGAACTCGTGCCTAACTATCCAGTTCTTAGTATTAATGATTACACCGACGTGATAGCGGAACGAATTCCGGAAGAGGAAGTGGACGCTGACGAAAGAGATTTTATTAAGGTCATTCATTTCCAGAATGACGCTAGTCGGGTCCACGGAATCCCTTTCAAATTCCTCCTCAAAGAGGTAAATACATGAATATATATGAGAAAGAGAGGCACGACTAATTCAGACCAGGGTGAACCATTCTCCGAGACAAAGAAGCGACTAGAGAACCGAACGGGCATCAAGGGCAAGGCTTTCGAAAAGATCAAATTCGCAATAGTGCGACGATTCCAGAAGCCGGCTTATATCAACGACGGTAAGGACTTATGCCACAGTAATTACGAGGCGCAGCTAACATAACGTAGAGGATGTGCTTTTCGATGAAGGAGGCACGATAGAAGACGACGTCGTGCTTGGGCTAGACCACCTGGATCGTTCAAGAACAACGCGGAATGGGGGAGAAATGTTCCTCAAGTAGATTCTCCTACATATTTCATCGAAGCCTGCTATGAGGAGCGAGAATGTGCTCCCTGTGTCCCCTTGAGGGCCAGCTAAGTATCACGGAAGGAACTCGTTGAGGATCCCGGCCGATGACTGATAACCGACGACCCGGACATACCTTTTGTATTAAGTAGGTACCTGTTATTGGGTTTCTGCGACGTTTTCCTCTCATCCTCGAAGACATGCAGGAGGTTCAAAGCATGCATCGAGCAAAGCAAAGAGGGATCAGCCGGGGGGCAAAGGTCAATTGGACCTCTTAGTACAGCATGGTTAGTCGGACAAGATAATACGGAAGGGTAGTCACACAGAAACATGTCCGGGGTAAATCGGATAAGGTTTTGGGGCAAGTTGGGCGTCTTCTCATGGAGTAGCACGACAGTGGCAAAACTGACGGTAGGCTTTTGACCTGGGCATTGAATTCGTGGATCTAGATACGAAAAGACCCCAGGGTCCGGGCAAAGTTAGGGCCTGCTCTACATACAACTGAGTTCAATCCTTTGCAGGGCATGCATGAATAGAATTGTTGTATAGAAAATTTACTCTGTACGTACATGCGAAAGGTCTTTTGTGCGTTTTTCTTAAGCTATGGTGTTATGCGATGTAATAGTACATACAATAAGGGGTAGACTATCTACCTGAATAGCCTCGAAAGACTATTATCAATTCCAGAGTCAAATTACATCATTGCGCCTCGGAAACGTCCTTCTGCGTGAGAAACTCGCCAACGACCTTCAGAATCCTCTCTCGCAGCCCTCCGCCTTCCAGATGGCACATGTGGCCGCCGCCCGGGAACGTGACCCAGCGAACGCGTGGGATGAGCTCGAAAAAGGGGACTTGGGCGATGTCGTGCGAGGTGTCGTATTCGCCGTTGTAGACGAGGGTTGGAGAGGTGATTTTGGGGAGACGGGGGATGACGGTCCAGTTATTTAGAGAACCGTCTGCTGTTAGAGGTGACGGGCCGTTCCTGGATGGATTAGAAGTGGAATCGGGGCAGACATGGGTTGGAAATAGGAGGGTCTACTTGGGAAAGATAAAGGGGAAGACTTGTAAATCCTAACCGCTCCTTTCGCTGCATTCACTACGAAAATCCCAGAGAAGAGAGAGAGGCACAACTTACATTGTCCGATACACCGTCGTATCCTCGCTAAGATGCTTCAAAGCCGGCAGCAGCTCCGCCGGCGGAAACGGATCAGCACGACACACGTGCTTCCTATAGTAGAAGTCCAGCGCCTCCTTATAAGCAGGACTATCATACTCGCCCTTCTGCTCAGCCTCGTCGAGCGCCCTCTGCATACCCGGCGGCATCTGCCCCCTCAACAAAAGCGTGCCCCGAGTAGCTAGCTCCTTGCTCGCCAGCGCACTGGCCAGGACCAGTCTCCGCAGCCCCCGGGGCCGGCGGGCGGCAAACCCCGCGCCGAGCATGCCCCCCCAGCTCTGGCCGAGGAGATGGAAGCCGGGACCGTCGCGGCGCGCGACGTCGAGGTGGTCCAGCAGGTTGTCGAGCTCGTCCTGGAACAGCTGTTCCTGCCAGAAGCACTGGTCGCCGGCTTTTTGCGGGAGGTGCGCGGAGGCGGCGCAGCCGATCTGGTCGTAGAAGATTACCGGCAGGCCGTATTGCGGCCAGAGGTCGGCGAAGGAGAGCAGGTACTCGTGGCCGGCGCCGGGTCCGCCGTGGGCTATGACGACTGGGGGCGCGCCGGTCGAGAGGTCCCCGATGATCTTGTAGTAGGTGAAGCAGGGCTCGTCGATTGAGGGGATTTTGAAAGGCGCTTTGCCTTCTTGGACTTGGATTTCGGGCATGGTTTAGCGACGAGGGTTGTTGAAGGGGAGGGGAGGGGAATGGTGAGGTGAAGTAAAGGGAATTGAAATAAAGAGCGGGAGTAGGTTGTGTGTCCAAATGGCCGGTTGGTCCCGGGTTGGTGCAACTACCAACAGGGTGTAACATCCGTATCGGTCCGGCTCTCTCCCTTACAGGACGCCGTAGCCTTGCCGAATCAGATCAGAGGGATCCGGTCTACAAATAGATTAACTACGCTAAGAACACTTCTATTTTCTTTCTTTTTATCCCCGTACCCAAAATACCATGCTTTGAGTCTTTGGTTAACTCGTCATTGTCATGACATCTAACTACATCCAAATATTCTAGGGGGAATCTGATACGGAAGAGAAATAATTCTTCCTTCTCATCTAATGGGCGCATCTCACGTTGTACTAGCGATGAGACTATAGAGGAAAAGGTAATTGTAAATTGGTTACCAGTATATGTAAATACGACCGATATGCTATATTCATTTTCTTTTCAACCTAAACTCATAGCTCATATGTGTGTGTGTGTGTGCTATTTACCACATTACTATATACAACAAGTACTCGACCACATCACCGAGCAGCCTACCTCCTTAAGGAGCAGTGACCTCGGTGAGAGGCCAGTTGATACCCTTGTCTGCGGCGCCCGTGTTTCCTAGGCCGGCGCAGCTGTACAGGCCGACGGGGTTGTTCTCCGTGGCACGCATGTACTGCAGGTCGAGGCACTCCTCTGTTTCTAGTTGTTAGCTCTTACGCTCTGACGATTACACATTGTGGTACTTACGGGGACTCGACTTCTCGACGGCGATCCGTCCGTCTTCCATGGCAACCCACTTCTGCGAATCCGCCGTGTCGGAACACTCCTTGATGTAGATGTTGGCCATGTCCTTCCAGTTAGCTGAGAGGATTTGTCGTGTTAGTAGGCTGGGACAGGGTGGTATAAGGTGTATAGGGGATGCTCACATTTCTCGCCTGCGTCTAGACAGAGCTCAGTGCCGGCTAGCTGGATCTTGGTGCTGCCGGTCTTGATGTACCATTGCTGCTCGGGCGTCTGGCTGCCGGTCTTGCTAGATGGTGAGAGGCGGATTAGTATATGTGCTTTATTACGACTGGGGGGCCATAGACGTACATTACTAGAGTGCTGCCGCTGGTGTTCGACTTGGGAACCAAGACGAACTTGGAGTCTACCATCGACGTGATGTAAACGGTTTTGTAGCCCTCAGGGGCCTGAGCGAAGCCAGTCGCGGCGAACGCGAGCGTGAGTAGAGATGTTACTAGCATCTTGATTCTTGTTATGTAACTAGATAATTTTGAGGCTACCATCATCAGTTAGGTCAAAAACTGAAAGATGATGCAAGTCGCTTATATACCTAAGGTACCTTACGTATACAGATCTCCTCCACAGCCAAAGCCATATTCAAGGTGTTTTTGGAATTAATCTACCAGCCTAATTGACAGGCAGACCACCCCAAGCTGGGGAAAAATATATTAAAGGTTATTTATTCGAGCCTGGGGATTTTCCCCATTTCTCGGAGCTTGGTATACATTACCTAATCCGGTCAATTACACGTTAATTAAATTGACGACGACGGGGGCCATGCGTCGTATCAACGATCGTCGGCAGATCTCCCCCAGGAAGACGGCCACCAATAGATCTGCCGCTATGTATTTGTATCGCCTCCTTTACTTGCCCCCCTCCCCTCCTATATCGTCGTCGGCTAATATGTACAAAATAATCGGGGGCGGCATTGGAATATCGCGGGGACTGATTTTGGATTTGTCTGTGACGGTGTCTCGTTTTGGATGCACAGGGGAATGTGTTGTGCTAGATAACCCCTTTTCCTTTTCCTTAAACGCCTTAAGAGCAGACCAACTATGATGACCAGAGTAAGTGCGGGCCCGGTACTGACTTCCGGCCGGCGGGTCCTCCGCTGTGTGGATACTTGCGGCATTGTGTCGGAACGCAGACCGTACGTAGGGGACCAACGTAAAAGAAGGATTAGGGATTATATTCCAGTGACGTCGACCATCATATGCCGACCTTTCCCCCGGATATTTGACACTACGACAATATATTGAACTTCTATATTTATTAAGACTATTACCGATACGATTCTTCTAGATGTTTGTAATCGTATATAACCTATCCTATGCTTCGACATGTTTCCAGAATGAAGCTCTATAATCTCGGCACACGTTGCTCCTATTTGAATAATAGAATAGTAGTGGAGTAGGTTCCTTAGGCGTGAAAGTCAAGTGCTTAGCCCTTAATAATTCATACTTGACTTACTACAGTAGCTAAATAAGGACTTATTTTACCGTGTACTAAAAGATGCGGCTCTTCTCTCTCTATCAATACCGCTGGTACCACTGGTAGTAGGGGCTACCGAGGCGTTCCGCTCGATGCCGATGTTGCTATCATGTAGGAAGGGGCTGTGGGTACTCACCACGCTATACACTCTACCCCTTTCTTCCATCTGCTCCGGTGTGAAGCCACGCGTAGAGTACCCCCAAGAACTTGTAATATGCCACTACGATGGTCCATTTCTCAGCCCTATATTTCTCTAACAGATTAGCGAAGGATGGAAGAACGACTTAGTAATGAACACGCAGATGATGGCATTGGCAGCTCTGTAGTATGAAAGCTAAAGCCATTGCCATTACCATCCGTCATTGGCTAGAATACTTGTTGAGCTTGGCATAATTCCAAGTCCTGCCATAAGTTATTCACTAAAGAAAGGTCAGCGAACCCGTCGTCAGTCATCAGCGGCAATTTATACCGTCCCCGCGTCCAAAATCGGAGATATACGACAACGGTAGACATGTCCATCATCGAGCCGGAAGCGCCTAATACGCCCCTCCTTAGGCGAATCCGACATGTCGGGCTGAAGGCCTGAATATAGAACGGGAGGCCCTTTGCGTTATCCAATCGTCAGAATCTCGAATACAAAGAGAAGAAAGAACGGTTATAGTTGCGAGCTGCTAGCTTGAAAGGACCATTGGTGCGCGGTAAGGTAAACAATATCGATATATCTAGCTGCAGTAGAGTTGAGAATGAGGCTGAGGGGATCCAGGTACATAGGTAGGTAGGATCTAGGTCAGATTTGCTTTCCTGGTTCGTATGCTAGGTACCTAGATTTACTAAAAGGTTCCGTTTATCACTACTTCGGTTCGGTATAACTCATCATCAACATGGTCCCATCCAACATATTAAATAATCCAGCCAGTTCATATATACGTCCACAGCAAAGAGAATGAAGCCCCTAATAGTATTATAGAGGCCAGACCTTATCAGATTTTTCATCAATACACCTACCTATTGCCCTCCCCATGGCTTTCCGCACTATATCTCGACACACAAGAACCTAAGCTCCCCGTCCACAAAACCGGACCAAAAAGGGTCGGTAGCTGTATATTCAGGCCCCTCCATGCCTAAGCTAAAGACAAGCTGGGGCGTTCGTAAGAGTATCTTATATACTACCTACCATACAGCCCACAGGCCCCATCGCAAGATAGCGAGTGCCACCAATAATAGATACCTTAAGTAAACATAGGGGGTTCCTCTACCCTAACACATCTAATAATTGCTATTAAACATAGCCGTCACGAAGTGCTCACGTCAGACGTAAGTAAGAGTAGCCACACTATCCCTCCATCTCCACATCCTCCCCACCCCCTTTCTTGCGACTCTCCAGCCTCTGTCTAGTCTTCTCCTTCGCCTCCTCAACCCACTTCGCATACGCATCTTCCCCCCCTTCCCTAATCTTCAGATCCACAACCCCCTTAAGCACCGCCCCCGCAAACCCCACGAAATTATGCCGGCGCAGCGCGTTCTCGAACTGCCAATCGCGACGCTTCTGCTCCTCGCGCGCCAGCATCTCCGCGTCGCCAATCTCCCGCGCTACCGCCCGCCGGTCCCCGACCATCGCCATGAGATTGAACCGGATCTCCGAGAGATCGTAGCGCGCGATGCGGCGCTGTAGCACGTCCATGACGCGCGTGGGGAAAGTCTCCGATGTGCACGGCCCGTGCGCAATCGGTGCCGGCTGTAGGCCATCGAGCTCGTAGAGTACGCCATCGACGGGCGTGTACGCGATGAAGTGGAACGCATCCTCCGTCTCGCCGCCCGTGCGCTGCGTCTCGTCGACGAACGGGCTACTGCGCGCGAAGCTGTTGTGTACGTCCCGGATCAGCTCACTGTTGCTGAGCGCCTCGCCGCGGAACTCGGGCGGCAACGCCATCGTGAATTCTCTGAAGTCGCTTAGCGGGGTTCCGATATCCACCTCTCCGCCCCGGTTCATGAGCACCGAGAGCAACGCCTGCGTACCGCACGCATTCTGTATTGTCTGAGCCGCAAACCAGAGACGTTCCGCAGCGTCGTGGTCGAAGGTGCCATCGAGAGGCTTATCGGTCGAGGTGTAGGGAGTGTCTGTGGGGTACTTGAAGAGGAATATGACGCCGTAGACGGGATGGAGCGAGGCCAGCGCTTCCGGCTCTAACGTAAGAAGCTCTTCAAACTGAACATTCTGAACGCCTAGGTTGTTGAGAAGGAAGGTAAAAACGCCCTTCGGGATAATAATCAGCTTTCGGGGATATCAAAAAGATAAGTAGACCAGGGCTTCGCATACAGCATCCGACTCAACTATTTTTAGGTAATTAGCAATCCATGCTCGGGTTCGAGGGAACACTGATGGAGTCAAACTCAACTGGTATTCCATCCACCACTCATCTTTCAGCTTTGCTTGCCAGGGCGGACGAGGCGCTGGCGGTAGGTCTCTTAGTATGCAGGCAGGTAAATCGAAGCGCTGATCGGGTAGAAGCTAGCTGTCGTGGAACAAGGAACGCCCTTCTCTGAGAATTTAACTGTTTGAATGCTCCGACATGTGAGTAGCCCAAGATTACAGATATCGCTAAATCTTGACGTCTGTTGCAGAATGTCTGGAAATTTCTTGTTTAAGTAAGACAGCTGAAAAGAAGCTTATAAATGTGTGATGTCAAGTTTGTGTCGCAGTTGAAGATGTGAATTATGTACATACATAGAGCTCCATCGGTACGTACTTCGCTTACGTACCTGGCAGCCTGAGCATGTACATAGGTAGGTATGTACGTACCTAATCTGAGCTATTGTGGATCATGATCTGATAAGATAAAGGGATGATCCACAATAGCTATC